GCGTTGGTTTTCTGTATACTTGGGTTTCTAATTTTCCTGTAGTTGTTCGTTTGATTAAGACGTCTAAAAATGGGATTTTGTTTTCATATTCTTCTTCTCTTGTGAATTTGATGTCGTTGAAGGTGTTGTTTATTATGTTGTGGGTATTGTCTAAGTTTTCTCTTTTGATTATCACGAATGTATCATATATGTAGCGTATCCAAATTTTCGGTTTGATCTTTGGCAGAATTATGTTTTCCAGTCTTTGCATGACGGCTTCCGCAATCAATCCTGATATGGGTGATCCCATAGGTGTCCCTTGAATTTGTTCATACATTTGGCCGTTGAATTGGAAATAAGTTGTGAGACACAAGTTTATGCATTCCATCCAACTTGAATGCTGCATTTTTGATTGTTGTATGTGTTCGTCGTTGTTGAGTAGTTGTTCCATGGTTTCTTTTGCTAGTTTTAGTCCAATCGAAGTATATAATGCCGTGACGTCGAAGGATACCATTATTTCTTGGCTGTCTATTTCAATGCCTTTGATTTTCTCTAAAAATTGGGTCGCAGATTGAATGGAGTGATCACATGATTTCGTCAAGTGTTTCAGTCTTCTGTATACTTCTTTGGATAAATTGTATGTTGGGGTTCCTGGGAGTGATACAATTGGTCGTAGAGGTATATTTGGCTTGTGTATTTTTGGTCTGCCGTAGAATCGAGGTATGACGGGTCCATTGGATTTCATTCGCCATTGATCTTCTTTTGTGATCTGACCCGTTTTGCTGAGTTTGCTTAGGGTTCTTTGGATGCGGTTGTTTAGTGTTTCGATGGGGTTTGTTGTTAGTTGTTGGCATATTGTTTGATCTTTGAGTAGTTCTTCCGCTTTTGCAGTGTGTTCTTCTTTGTCCATGATTACTGTAGCTTCCTTTGTCACTGGTAGATAACGAATCTTTCCTGTTTTCAGTCTTTTGAGGGCTTTTTGTTCTTGTGAGTTGACGAAACCATGTGATCACTCCATCCAATCTGCGACCCAATTTTTAGAGAAAATCAAAGGCATTGAAATAGACAGCCAAGAAATAATGGTATCCTTCGACGTCACGGCATTATATACTTCGATTGGACTAAAACTAGCAAAAGAAACCATGGAACAACTACTCAACAACGACGAACACATACAACAATCAAAAATGCAGCATTCAAGTTGGATGGAATGCATAAACTTGTGTCTCACAACTTATTTCCAATTCAACGGCCAAATGTATGAACAAATTCAAGGGACACCTATGGGATCACCCATATCAGGATTGATTGCGGAAGCCGTCATGCAAAGACTGGAAAACATAATTCTGCCAAAGATCAAACCGAAAATTTGGATACGCTACATAGATGATACATTCGTGATAATCAAAAGAGAAAACTTAGACAATACCCACAACATAATAAACAACACCTTCAACGACATCAAATTCACAAGAGAAGAAGAATATGAAAACAAAATCCCATTTTTAGACGTCTTAATCAAACGAACAACTACAGGAAAATTAGAAACCCAAGTATACAGAAAACCAACGCACACGGATCAAATACTCAATTACAACAGTAACAACCCAACATCACACAAAATTAGCTGCATACGTACATTGTTCAAGAGAGCCAGGACTCATTGCAGCACTCCCGCCTTGAGGAAAATTGAAGAAAATCATCTTATGGACGTCTTCCAAAGAAATGGATACCCACGAAACTTCATCAAAAGACATCTACCCCCAGCTCAACCAACCAAATCAAAGGCCACCAGCGAAAACACAAAGAAAGTCGTCCTACCATATATAAAAGATATCTCCGAAATCACTGCAAGACTATTCAAACCTTTTGGAATCGATGTCGCTCATAAACCAACAAAGTCACTACACTCAGTTCTATGTAAACCAAAGGACTCAACGGCAAAAGAAGACAAAACTAACGTCATCTACAAGATAAGTTGCAACGACTGCGACAAACATTACATTGGTCAAAGTGGACGCCCTCTTCGTCTTCGCATTCACGAACACAAACTAGCTGTCAAAAGACACGACATACACTCCCTCATATCACTACATGCAGACAACCACGGGCACCAATTCGACTGGGACAATGTTCAAATCTTAGACAAAGGGAACTGCAAAAATGCCAGAGAATTCCTAGAGGCCTGGTATTCAAATGAATCAGCAATCAATAGACACATAGAGATTGACAAAATATACCAATCCATACGAAGAAATTCACACAAAAACAAAGTCAAACTTCAGGTCAAGGAAACAGTCAACACCAAAACAAGCGAACTAGAAAGTGAGAAGTCACACAAAAACAACCAATCACGTTCAAGGTTACTAGAAGAGATGACTAATAAACTCATAGAGAATTCTAAAAGCTCACTTCACATCGAAGTATGCGCTGAAGATGTTGCTCAGTAGAGCAATGAAAGCTTCGCAACCAAACCATCCAGCTCAGAGAACACAACCACACCAAAATCATCCACCTGAGCTACAAATCTTCTCTATTATATGTTAAAGTTTGTCAGCAGGGTAAGTAACGTGCCACTTAACCAGCTTGTTAATATTCTGGTTGAATGGCACATGGATTCTTGTGAAAAATGGGCCAAATCCATTTTGTCTAACTCACAACACCCTATTCACTCACAACTCTCCCCTTGCATCTCATCAGGCAAAACCAGAAGCCTATATATAAAACTATATGCTCGCACCAGCAAGTACAAAAACTCAACTATACCCTACTTAGCTCGTGTTCTGTGTGATAAAGAAAGCATTAGGCGTGACACCTATAACTCATTAAATAGTCAGTAGAACAATTGGATCTCGTCTTTCCAACTCATATCATTTATAGTTACAACGTTTTTCTTTCTTTCTGTTCCTTTTCTCTCTCTTCTTTTTCCGTTATGTGCTGCTTTGTTTCGTTCTCTCGCTTACGCCAGTAAATATGATAGCACCTACTTTTCTAACACCTTCAAACACTGTTCAACTTTGGCTTTGCTACCGACATGCCAATATGTTGTTTTCATAATGAACTGAGATTTCCTTAATCTATGTAGAATTCTATTTATTTATTGATAATGTACTAACTGGATGCAATACTGTAGTAAAAATGCTGAGAATTCCATTCTGTATCACAAGTACTGTTTTGGAATAAAGCAAATTATTATTATTATTATATATCTTTGGCTATATTTTCTTGGAAGACTATGATAGGAAATCTGTGCCATATCCAAAAAAGAAGTAACACTACTGAACCAAACTAGATGATCGATAAATAAATAATATTATACTGTCTGTCCGTAGTGACTGAGTCCATATCTTTGCATGAACATCAGCTCATTGAAATACTGATGACTATTTACGAGGAAACAGCATAAAACATTTCATATGCATTAGTATTGAGATGATTTACATGAGACTGAATAGTTTAGATAATAGTTCTTTGGCATTTTTTAAAATGATGGATAATAAGTTGAAATCTCATTGAGAACAAAATCTTTCATTCTGGTGCTGGGCATATTCTTCATTATACCAGTGTCATGAAGGCCGAAATGCTCACTCTACATTTGATCTTTGTTCAATGTCTGATAAAAAATGGTAAGTAGTCACTCTTAAGTTCCTTGACAGTAACCAATAATGAAAAGCATCAAAAGTGATTAAAGGTTTTTTTCTTTGGGGAAACTGTTGGAGGAAGCTGATTTAAGATGAAAAATTGAGGAAAGAAGAGTACATTTTAATTTAATAATTTAAAAAATTTTGTGTATTGGCACAGGATATAGTATATCTAATCCCTGATCCTAGTCCATAGGCTTTATTAATATATACACCAATTAGAACAGGAAGAAGGATAGAATCGAAGAAAGAAATTGAGATAGTGCTCTAATAGATCCTTAAGTACCATGCGGAAAAAAAAGAAAAGATGGAGATGAAGCAGTGTTCTTTTAAAAATTGGATATTCTAGTCTAAATGAAGGTTTAGGCATCAATGTATTCCTGAGCCAGTATGCTGCAAAATTGCGCGATGCATTATCTAAAGTTCATCCAAGTATGAATTGTAGTATTCACAAAGTTGATCAGAATCAAACTGTCCACTAATTGGTTTTTTAGTGACTAGAAATGGGACCTCGGATAAGCATTTCGTTTCATTTGGGACTATCCAGCTACACATACAACAGGTGGTCTAGTGAATAATGCTTTGGAGTTTGGAATGACTGGTGCTAAATTACAGTGCCAATGAGAATATCATCATTCACTGAGGACTGCAGGCACATCCAGACGACGAGTCCCGAATAAAACGAAATTCACATCCTGCATTTCAACGGTAGTCACCAAATTACTTCAATTTGATTCCAGGACATCGTCAAATTGTCCGTACTAGAAGCTGCAAACATGTCAACAGGGGCTAAACATTTCGGTCCAATCATTTAACGTCGAAATCAGAACTATAAAACACAAAATAATCGAGCAAAGAATATCCTTTTCGATAAATTCCTCTTCTGGCTCTACAATTATATATGCATGTTTATATACATAGAATATTCTAGATTAGTAATCAATAACAATATTAGTGTTTTTTAAATAATATCAATTCGTTTAGTAAGAACAATGGAATTACAATTCATTAAAGGTGCTTAAATTATAATAATAATAAAGATATAGTAGCGAATAGAATATCAACTAAAATTAGGAAAATTCCACAGAAATTCAGGATCATTCAAACCAAGATAGCCAAGGTAATGATAATTTCTGATTTTGGATGCATAAATTAGGCTTGTTAATATGGATTCCCACAGCCTCATCAATATTTAGCAGTCGAACTCTTAAAGCAAAATTGAGATTCGTAGGTATGCCGCATATTTTGTGTTTTATAGATGTCTGAATGAATATTTTTGCTATATTAAAATCAGAACTGATTGAAAACAAATAAGAATATTTACTATCTCAGATATTTCACTGATAATTCTTTCTTTCGATTGTTTTCTTATCTTTTTAGATTAGATCGTCTACAGATCAAGAAATTAACCTATCAGTTATTACAAGCAGTGAATTTCTGTCATGCACATAATGTATGAAGTATTTCAATTATTATCATTGTTATTATTACCGCCAAAAAGACGACAATTTAGTATTATTATTATTTGTTTCGCATTATTTCGATATGGTTTTTAATTTTATTCTTGCTAAATTAACACAGTGAACGAAGTTTAATCTTCAACGAAGATAATTAATATAAGACTCATACAGTTAGACAATATTATCCATTAATGACGTTTCAAGCATAGTTTATCACTCATAATCAATCATATGAATGCACTCACATAACTTTCAAACGTTATGTGTATAATCCGATGATTTTCTTATCTTTTTATTTTATTGGTAATAATATTCTTCACATCTCTGATATTATTGTTGTCATGCCTGTTGCAAGTGTTAGGCTTATATTCCATGAACAAAGATTTAGCAATCCACGACTCCCTCCACATAATTATCTTACTCTTTAGAACTGTAGCTCTGTCACGTCCTAGTGTGTGTGTGTGCGTGATTGTACGTTAGTACATGTCCAGTAGGTCGGGGTCAGTCAGGTTATCGGGATATAGTGATTTAACTAAGAGTATAGTAACTGACCCCAGAAAGATGAATAGCTCAGGAAAAACCTTACATCATCACACAGTAGGGTGTGACATAGCAACAGTTTTAAGAAACAATGTAGTTATTTTGAGGAAATGGTGGGTGACTGAATTTTTGTTTGCCAAATTTGCACCTAACACATGCAATTGAAATGATGCAACGTCTATACCACATATATGGAATATTGCAATAAATAATAACAGGGAGTATGACTACAGAGAGTTTTTTATAAAATCGTGTAAATACGATAAACATGACACAATATCAATATTAGAGATATGGAAAATGTTATTACCAATAAAATAAAAGTTATGTGAGTGAAATCATGTAACTTTGAGCAACAAACTGTGCTCGAAATGTTATTAGCAAATAAACAGGACTGTATACCAGTGTATTACACCAAGTGAAACAATACTATTATCGAATTATAATCTCCTACAAAGTCTAAGTTCCTTTTATTGTATCGGAGAATATTACTGCTTTATTTGATAAGGAGGAGTTTGCTGATGAGCCTTGGAGGTGGCGAAAAATAAGTAGAATAACATTTTTTGGTGGAGGAGAAACTAAAAGAACACTAGTAAACCATGCATGTGGTCCAGGGCTCGATCCCAGGCCGATGCACTCCAAAACTTCCCCTAGCCAGTAGAAAGCGTAGGGAAAAGAGGGAAGATTGGACATGAATCTAGCAATCTTACTCCTTAGAAAAAACATTAGTGATACTGAAGCTTCATAGTTCAAGCATGAAACCCTATGTTCCACTTAGAACGCAAAGTAATGGGACTGAAGAAGATGTGGGTGGCAGCAGGATTTGAACCTGCAGATTCAAAATTCCTAATGTGGCACACTGTCACTTGAGCTATGAGACCCAGCTTCTTACCAGGTCACAATTTCACTGCAGTTATTACCCATGACGTCAATAACAGACAGCTAAGTCAGAAATATCTCAGATAGCTTCACTATTAGTTTTCTTTTATTAACTTATTTTTCACTTTCTGTAGTTCCAAATCTGCGTGAATTGATCATAGCATGGTATTATTTCTTTAGTTGTGTCTAGCAGTGGAACCCAGCACTTGAATTCCATTGTCTTTGGAACTGTATTCCAGTAGGCGATGATCGTCTTCTACAGTTATGTTCAGAAAGTCATCTGTTTCTGGTCAGCACTAACTCCAAACATGAAGAGAGAAATTTACTAACTTACTGACCTATATCATCAAGTCAGCGATGAATCGGGTCCCAGTGACTGAACGGTATGCGGGCTTGCCTAGTAACCGGAAGGTCCTGGGTCTGAACCATGTTGGTGGGTGCGTACTGCCGATAATTCCCAACCTAGGACGATACAGATGTCTAGAGCTCCCTGGTTTTCAATGGTTCTCTAACTGATATCAATCCGTGATTAACTCGTCAAAACAAATAAATTTACTTGGTGAATATTTTTCATACTAGTACTTCATATTTACGAAGTTGGCAAATGATAATACAGGTGTAATTTTCGCCTGTGCCAACACTCTCCTTTCCATATGGAATGGCTATCGTCAATAGCCAAGATTTTTCCATTTTCTGTTTTCCCTTCTGGTCCTTTTTATTGATAATAATATTTAGCAGCTTTTTTGGATAACCATTTCTAATCAACTGAACAACTTCAAAGAGTACTTATTTTATTTCATATGAATATGATATTAAAGTCTATTTCAAGCCTTCTAATTCTCTAGAGAAAGTTTTGGTGAATGTCAAAGATATGGTTCCCAAAATGAAACAAAACAACTGTGTCTATAGCATAGTTTTCAGAATGTGAAGCTTGCTATATGTAGGGGAGAGTAGTAGACAGGTAAAGATTAGAGTGAATGAACACAAGCTATACACGAAACGTCCGCCTAGAAATGAAGAAGAATTAAAAAGTCTAGAAAAAAGATCAGCTATAGCAATATATGCTATAGACAGCGGACATAAGGTGGATTTCGACAATGTCGAAATTCTAGGAAGAGGCTTTCATTTACATAAAGAAAGGTTGATCTCTGAAGCTTTGCACATTTTAACCACATCGAATGAAGTAAATTAGGAGAGAAAGGATAGACTTATCATCTATATGACAGACTCTAATGTAGCCAAATAGATAAGGAGAAAAATTCACTCCTATATTATGACCACTGTAAAATATTATCATGTTTTGACGTGTTTTCCATATAACTCAACAACATGCACAGACATTCATGCAGACAAGTACGCTTAGATGACAATTTGACATTAGTCATTACAAATATGTGATGACTGTTTTTGATTGCACATTAGTCAGTAACTAGTGTAATGTGTCTAGTCCTATCTTCGGTGCAGACTGAATTCTATAAGTCAAGCTTGCAATGTGGCCACCATGCTAGGTGGCTCGCCATTACGGTGCACTGTGAACTGTTGGTATTAGATGGTTGGAGGCAATCGACAGGAAGCCTTGGACCTAGGTTTCGTGTTAGTTGGCACTCATCAGCAAGGTGTATCTGCAACCTTGAAGGAACTGATGTCCCTTCTGAGATTCGAACCCGCGTCACCCAGTGCTGAAATCAGAGACGTTACCACTGAGCTATTCAGGCTCACGACTATTTCAACCTTTTCTACTGGTACAAATGACTACTGACAAGTGACCTCCAAAGGAACTCACTTCAATTTTTGTAAATTTTTTGACTGTATACTTACATTGTTAATTCTTCTTAAGAAGCTGTGGCTATTATACAGAGAAACGTTCAGAAAAATCTTGCTTTTATTTTTTTCCCTTAAACACACTGTGATTATTTGAAATAATTTATAATTGTAGTATAGATTTTGTCAAGAACAGATATCTCATATGGTAAAGCATTCCAAATCATAGGAAGAGTAGAAAGCAGTTTTTTCCTAGCTTGGGACTTTTCAGCAGCTTATACTCAGTGTGTGTGACTAAATGTAACAGCCGAAATTAGTCCATATCCCCACATATCACCATTTCCAAGTGAAGTGGATACTCGTCAAAGGGGTTGTTGAAGGTAGCATTACATCACAAGTTGATAAAAGTTGGAATGTACGAGTCATTGTAATCCTGCTGAAGTTGCTGAATCGTCAAAGGCCCTGGATTCATAAGCTGAAGGTTCCAGGTATGATCCCCGGGTTAGCGTGATTGGTGCGCAGTGATGAAGAATCCCAAAATAGGATGAAATATCTCTCCAATCGGTCGGTCGGTCGGTTTTCGACATAGAATTTTGCACATATGTGCGGCAGTTCAAGGCGCCACACTCCCTTCTTGTAGCACACAAAGCAGCAGAAGAAGGTAGAAGAAATGCATAATATAGACAGTAAACAGGGGTGTCAGACAAAGGAATAGTAATAACGAAGAACAAAACAGTTTCATTGGAAATCATGAGTCACAAGGAGTGGATGCATCTGCGCCACTGACAACGATTTTGAGCCATGTCACTAATTGTTTCCAACCATTGGTTTTTACCATCCCGAGGACCCCAACCAGGAAGGCAGTCTACACCTTCCTACGTGGCTTAGACTAACTGTTGTGGATTTCATTGACTGGTGCCATGTTTTCGTTTGACCGCCGCTAGCTCTTTTCCAGCCTGGCCCTATATCAGCTAACATTGCCCACTGTCGACGAAGGCGATGACTAGGCATACGTAACACATGTCCTAACCATCTCAGTCGATGTAATTTCACAGTCTCGTCGACTGATTTCCCCGCCTTACCTAGCACTCGACGCCTAACCTCAATATTGCTCACCATATTATGCTACTTCATACGGGAGATAGAACGCAGACACCTGTGATAGAAGACAGCTAATCTTGTCATGTCTTCTGCTCTCAATGGCCATGTTTCACAGCTATAAAGGAGAACGGAGCGGACTGTTGAGCTTCCTGGTTTCCAGGGATCGCTCTAAATGATGTTGGTTGGTGACGAAATCTAACAAAGGGGAATTAAATTAAAAATTTTTACTTTTTTCAAACTAAATGAATTTTGATTGAACATTATAAACACATCAGTATTGAAGGAACTAATTGATATATCGTTAAACATTCTTCTTTCTTTTTAAGTGTATTCATCGTGATGTTAAACCAGAAAATATACTAATTACAAAAGCTGGTCAACTGAAGTTATGCGACTTTGGTTTTGCCAGATTGCTAAGTAAGCATTTTTTACATTTCTGGTGAAGATTTTGTTAGTAATTAAGTTAACTTTTAAAATTGTTCTTGTCTTCTCTACATTGGTGGCACAGAGGTTAGGATGCTCGCCTACCATGCACATGGTCCGGAGTTCGATCCCCCTGCCAACGCACACCTGATATCAATGGCCGGCCTGCTACATTTGGGCTACCGATATCACATGCTGAAAATTCCATACTTGTATCAAAAATACGGTGTAGAATCAAGCTATAATCAAGCATATATATATGATGGAAAATTCCCATTGTAACATAGAAAATCAAAACAATTGATTCAGCGAAGAGACCCTTTTCAACGAATCTATCATCAAGGAGGACCGATGGAACTCTGAAAAGATCGATTTATCGTAAGCTGTCATGGAATGGTCAACTGACAAATTTCTACAGCTGGGTACCCATTGGTCGAAAACGAAACCTTATCCGTTCGCTTGCCACTCGTATTCGGTGCATATGTAGCCCTGATACTGTGGAAGATGAGTTATACATCTTGAGGATAATCCTAATAAAAAACGAATTTCCACCACGTTTTATAGATAAGAATATACATCCAAATCCTAAAAAACGTGAATTATCAACCGTACCCAAGAAGATACTTTACATGAGCTTGGAATTCAAAGGGGACTTAGCTTCCGATATCATGAAACGAAGGATATCACAGTCCCTGAAAAGAACATTCCCTGCTGCATCTCTGAGAATAGCCTTTACTAGTCGACCATTATTGTTCAATAACCTGAAGGACAAGATCCCGCTGTTGACCAACTCTATGTGTGTTTATCAATCCATCTGCTCGTGTGGAGCTAGGTATATCGGTCGTTCGACACGAGTTTTGTCCAAGAGGGTGCAAGAACAATATCCTGCATGGTTACGAAAAGGTGGAAGTGGAGCAATAAGAAGCGCGATCATTGAACCTCTGGTCGATAATGATCACCCTATCTCTATAGCCTCCGCCTTCAAAGTCATCTAAAAGGCAAAAAGTCATGTACAGAAATCATTACGTACCCGACTCATCTGTATTGCTAAAGCTTTGGCTATCGAAACAGAAAAGCCAGATCTCTGTGTACAGAAAAAGTTCGTTCAACCCCTCCAACTTTCATGGTCTTAGTCCCTCTATGCTAAAGTATGGTAATCCTCAATCATATTTTAGCTCTACCAATTTTTCATGTTTTCATTTTTGTCTGTTCAATTTGTATACTCTAGCTTATTAAGTCAATTGTTACTATTACTACTCTCACTTTTAATTGTCCCCGGTATTATTTCACTTGTTCCACTTGTCATTCTAAATCAATTCCTTTATGCAACATTAAATTCTATGCTATTAAATTTCACACAGTATTACTTAACGTTTTTATTATATTCGATTTGTCTACTAATCTTATAATTGCACGCCTTTTTCAAGTTCTATCCATCCTATGAATTATTCTATATATGACATTAATTTGCTTTGCCACTTGACATTTAACTACGATTATAATCACAAACATTTTAGTTTTAATTGCATTTCATATTATTATTATCATTATTTTATGCATTCACACCTGTGATTTAATTCCCTCACCGGATATAACTTCTTAAAAAAAACCATATATATACGATTGTACAGCTTGATGATAAATTCGTTGAAAAGAGTCTCTTCGCTGAATCATTTGTTTTGATTATATATATATATATATATATGAACTGCCATTTTGACCAGCACAGTATTGTTTATATTTGGAAAAAATTTCAAACGCTTCATTAGAGAATCAGGCTGGACAAACAAATTTCTATACTAAATACATCGAATTAATTTTAGTGCACTGCTACTTGATTATGAACAGAAACATTTATTCGTTTCGACTAGCTTAGAATCTTCTAAGCCCCCTGCTTAAAATTTGGGCTACCGAAAACCTCCATCAATATATTGCACATATAGGTTCTCTTAGTCAGTTTGTTTAAATCTAGTAAAATATGACCTCAAGTAGTGTTGTTTACTATGGCGAGTATTTAAAATATTCACAATCTGCTATGATTCACAAGTTTCTACTAAACATGAGTAAAAAGCCTTATCCTCGATGGAAGCTTATTCCAATACATGAGACAACGGTTTTTGAGTGGTGTCCTTGGCTCACAGAATATACCCCTGAACTTTGTATAGTTGTCATTTTACAAAGTGTCATGTATTTCTCGAAGGGATCAAAGAAGCAACATCATAATGGATTGATTTGCTCTTCAAGTCAGATAGAAACCTGTCACACGATTTACTGTCAGTCAATTAATTTTTTCTTTGAAGAAACTAGACGAAAAGAAAATATTCAGTAATAAACTGCGCTGAAAATTCTGTACATAATATAAAGATTGTTCAGAATAAAGCTACCATTATTATTTATTTATTTATTGTCTTAATAGATTCGTTTTCAGATTTAGATAGTTTGGCTAGGAATGTAAGGCATATAGTCTTTTCTACATTTTCTATGGAATATTTACGCCTGTTCATATACCTCTTGAAAGAGTTGATTTCAGATACAGAATACATTTTATCTGAAATTAATATCAAGATTTGATGACCCATACCTCACTACGTCACACTGATTTTATATTATTGTACCGAGCTCTTCTTACCTAGTGAGGAGTGGAAGAGAAGAGAGATTTGGATCATAGTCATTGCATGATTTATCCTGTCACTGTCTTCGTATCCTACAGAAAATGCTAATGAATAATAAATATGTACTAGATTAGTTGACCCGAATAAGATAAGACATCTGGAGAATAGTTCAGCTAAAGCACTCACTACATGCAATTACACACAACCATACAATAGAATGGATGAGATAAGATGACAGTTCTAAAATCTAATTTGACAGGGTGTAAGAGAGATTGATAACTGAAGCTTTGTTTATCGAATCAACTGCAAACACGTGTGATAGAAATGATTCAACACCTGTTGACCAGGACATCTGGAAAATTCTACTACCCCTACGACGACTACGAATAGGAAAGAATAAAGAAAACTGTAAAACGAGTGTTTCGAAGTTGTGTGATTATAATTGATGATATGATTACGAACAATACTGAATTGTGTTCGAAACTTTGTCATCCAATAAATAATAATACTGTTTCACTGTGTGATATATCTAATAAACAAATAAATATGGAATATAAATTACCATTTTGTATTTTTGGTCCTCTTGGTAATGCACAATATACTTGCCCACTTAGAATTGCGTACAGCGCTTGGCATAATGGAAAGAATTTAAAGCAAATCTGTTGATTAACTTATCTGATGTAGTGATAGGATAATAACTCCTAATGAGAACCAATCAACATGCAACTAACACATAGAAAAAGATAAATCAACTAGCTAACAGCTGTTTGTTTTCATTTTAAAGTCGAATACTAACTTTATTTCAAATAACCTAATAAAATGATACACAACAAATAAGTGGTATTAATGAATTAAAACAATCCAAGGTCAATCACCAAATAACCAATCAATAAATTGCGATAGCTTAAATGATGCATCTACAATTTACAAAGTGCTTATTTGAATCCATTTATGATCCACCGTTTATGGTATGACTTTTTCTATATACGTCGTTAAATGCATTTGTTTTCCATAATCTACCGTCTTCGTTGCTCAGCTAATTTAAATGTACTCTGATGTCGATTCAGAATAAATAGTTTTTCCATAACCTACGAGTCACCATTTAGTTGACTAGAAGCAAATATCTATTTTTAATTATCTTGGTAATATATATATATATACATATATATATATTAACACTTGAAACGGGGATTTACATCATATACTCTTCTGTGAACTGCAGTACATGTCGACTTTTGTTGATGAAATTCAAATACAAATTACAATTCAGGGTGAAAATCCGCTCTTATTCCGATTGAAAACAGTGTAGACGGTTCAATGTAAAATTTTGAGGAATAAATATAAAATAAATAATTAAAGTATTCGTCGATTAAGGTGTAATCATGCTTAGTGAAATGCTGTGGTCACAAGTATTGCCCAGACTAAGAGATGACATGAATTCATGCTTGTTGTTTTTTTTGGGGGGGGTCGTAGAATGGATGTCCTTAAAATAATATGAACAGTAAGCAAAGACTGTTTCGTGCACAGATGTATTAACTCTGTAGATCATTTAATTGTTTTCTCTCTTCTCATGTCACTTTTGTGTATTGTCGTTCCCGCATTAAGTTGTAGTGCGCCGGTGGCACAGTGGTTAGAACTCTCGCCTACCATACACATGGTCTAAGGTTCGATCCCCTGCCGACGCACACCCGATATCTATGGTCGGCCTGCAAAATTTGAGCTACCGATATCCATGCTGAACATTCCATACTTGTACCAAAAATACGGTGTGGAATCGAGCTGTAATAAAAAATAAAATAAAATATTTTATACTATCTTTCGCCATTCTAGGTAAATGATAGAGTAATAAAAGTGGTTATAAATTTGTTTAATAATAGCTGAAAGGATTGCTATCACCGATGTCATAGCAACTTCTGTCGATAACTACTTAGAACTATTCTGTCAAATCTTGCCGACATTTCATTTGAACTACTTGAAAGATTTGAACAGTATTTCAAAGTCAGAATTTTTTCAGATAGCTAACATTTGAATTTAAGCATCACGAATTACTATGATCATAACAGCTGAAAACATTTAAAGACGACTAAAAATGAAATTACTAATATGCTTTTTATCCTGTTATGAGTCTCGTCAACCACGAAACCTATTTTTTATTCTAATTTCACCATTCTTTGTTTGCTTAATCGTTTCTTTCCATTTGTCGGATAGCACTACATAGTCTGTGTGTGTGTGTGTATAATTTGCATGTCTCGTGACCTTTGACCTTTACGTTCTATTTTAGGTATATGTATGCACTGTGGTGTAGATCTCATGGTGATTTTATCTATCTCTATTTGACGGAAAGAAATATTTGTTAATTGATCAGCGTTTTTTTACCTAGTAATTCAATTCAGACACCCACCTGTTCATTTTCCAGTAGTCTGTGAGCAAATTAACACTGAACACTGTAATCAATAATTCATTCCATGAAAATAACCGCTTAAAATTCGCAGTTATAATAAATTATATATTGACTGGTTACTGGGACGTAACCAGCGTCAAGTGTCAGTTCCCTAGTTTTGGTGCTGATTGAATTTTATGTTTGAAATATGGTCATCCAGCTAGGTGGCTCTGTACTCTGAATACATGTTGGGTGTTTTTAGGCAATCGGTAGGAAGCCTTGGACCAAGGTGTTTTGGTTATTGGCACTCGTCAGCAAGGCGTATCAGAGACATCGATACAAATGGAGATTGTAGTTAGAGACGATATCACTGAGTTACTCCAGCTGACGATAGCCCCTCTATACGGCTCCAGTGGTGGAACCCACCAAACACGTATTCTTACTGGAATTTCATGAAATCCATCCTGTATTCAAACAGTAGTGAGAAGCGTGTTGATTTTCAAGTGCTGCTGTGTGTGGATTTCTATTTCAAGTTAGGTCTCATCATGAACAAGTATCAGGTGAAGAACAAATGAAAGCCAATCAACACTCTTCACGGGTGTTCAGCCACATCCTCACTATAGATTAACTTCAGGATTTCTAGGTTTCTAGGTGACCACATTTATCATTAAACCGACAGACTGAAATTGAATAGTGTATCATTTCGAAATCCTGTCAACTCATAATATTTGGGTAACTTCATCTAATGGGAGTCATAGGGTTGATAAAGTCACATATGAGGATAGTTGTGGGTTTATGGAGAAATCTAGACTGGAGTTTTAATCAAATCTTCATGTAATTTAACCTGTATATTTTCACATCATATGAATACCTTTATTCTCACTTAATAGCAATTTTAACCTTATCAAATTTCTATCTTTCTGCCCTTGAGTACCACGTAATTTTCAACTTCTAATTTTCACTTCTAAAGCCACTTCTGAGTAATTATATGAATTATGTCACCCCCTATTACTCAATAATAGACCACTATATATTTTTGTAAGTATAAATACGATTGTACAGCCCCTGAAGATGATTTCGTCGATAAAGAAAATTTTCTTCGCTGAATCTGTCTTTTATTTTCTTCATGACTCAATGGGTATTTTTGGTGATTTGAAATATGAATTAGTTGACAATCTTTTCACTTATTATTCTTATTTACATTTTATTTAATTTCTTAGCTGGACCAGGCGATGAATATACAGATTATGTAGCGACAAGATGGTACAGAGCACCAGAATTACTTGTCGGTGATACACAGTATGGTACACCAGTTGATATTTGGGCTATTGGATGTGTAGTGGCTGAAATGCTTACAGCTTTACCATTATGGCCTGGTCGGTCTGATTTAGATCAGTTACATTTGATTACACGTACACTAGGTAATTACATACTGATTTTAAAATCTTTAAAAGATATTGTATAAAATTAATTATTTTATTTATTTTGTTTTGTAATAGTTAGAACAATCGATAATTAGCCCAGATTTATTTAATTGATTAGCTATGTAAACTCCCAAGTTAGATGCGTAATGAAGATATAAGTTGTATATACTTGCAACAATTTTGGTTTTTTAAATTCGGTTGATAATGACTAACAGTAGGATCCAAAAAGAGCATTTCGTCCTACTTCCGACTCATCAGTTGGATTTGCCCAAATTTTCATTGAGTGGTAATGTCTCCACTAAGATTTGTATCAAGTACCTGGCATCATAAGCACTAAGGCGTTATGTATTAGGCCAGTGGGCCACTGAGCATTTCGGTTCAGTGATGTCAATCATTGCAAGCTCAAATGACAATTTCAAAAGTGTATTGTTTTCTTTGCTGGAAATGTAGAAAAGGCTTGTAACAGAGGAATACTGTTCAGGTATTTTAAGTTGGTGTGGACTGTTATTAGTTTCAGTGAAGGCTACACCACAAATCTATATCACTTAAAGAATCGTTGTCTGGACGTCTGTTCTGCTCTAGGCTTAGACTCTCTACACCTGTGGCCATGGAATAGACTTCCTAAAGTTGCAATGAGAATTCAAGGGTCGTTTGATCTCATTATGTTGAATGTGAAGCAGATGCCATTGGTTGGCAGTGGTGATATATCAAGAACTGAGAGAAATTAGAATTCACGAGTTATCAGATTTCGCCCCTATGACAGAATAAAGACTGGCTTACTTCGTAACCTGAATGTTCTGGATTTGAACCCTGGTAAGATCACTGATTTACAATTTTGAAGAGCTTTCAACTGGGGCAAAGCAGCTGTTCAGAGCTCCATAGATTCCATAAGTGATATCGGTGAGTGGCGAAATCTATACGGAAACACTAATTCGTTTGTAGGGAACTGATTTATTTCAAGTACGACCATGGGTCCCAGTGGCTGAATGGTCTACGAGCTTGTGTTGTAACTGGAAGGTCATGAGTTAGAACCGCAATAGGTGTATACTGCCTATGAGTCCCAGACTATGACAAAACGGCTTCCCAGGACTTCCTGCTTCTAAGTGGTTCTGTAACTGATATCATGAGGTGGTCAAACTTAAAGAATATTTACTTCACTTATATAAGTCTACAGCGTATTGGAAGTACTTTTGTTATACGTAAGCCGTATCTCTAAACCACATAGAATAACTAACTTGACAATAGTGTTGGAAATTCGAGAATTGTTTATTGTGCTGAGTGCTGCAGATTTCCACATTTGATTTCAAAGTAGTGAATGACTCTGTCTTGTCTTCACGATTCTATCTTTAACATCCTCATTTGTGCCAGATGCTTGCAGTTGAAACGATGTTGCCTAAATAAGTGAAAGAAGTGACTTCCTTCAAAGTTTCTCTATGCTTGTTGCTGTTGGTTAGGTATCTACATCACTTCTGTCTTCTCTACGTTCACCTGAAGTCCTGTCTTCTCTGTCTGCCACTTCTGCCACCTTGATGGTTTTCACTTGTATATCTTCGAGTTTTGCAACACAAGAAAAAGGTCATCATCAAAATCCAGATCTTCTGGAGTATTTTCAACGCAAGCTGGTTTTCTCAGTCCGCCCTTACGGTTCACCACGTAATCTAGTTCAGTGATAGTAGGCGTCCTTATCTTACTCTTGTGTTTACTGAAAATGCCTCGCTAAGCTTCCCATTTTCAGTTACTTGGTGCGACTGGCGTTGCCAGAAGCCTTTTCGAATTAGATTATGTTGAGGTACAATCACAATCATCACTAACCAACTTTTGATTCGTTCATTTTGATCGTTTTGTTCGACTCACTTTTCAAGTATTATAGTACAATATTTATTACAATGGGTCTTTTTATTGTAATGATAGAAATTTTAAATTAATACAAGAATATTATACACATAAATGAATATTGATACTTTCAATGCTTCTAATATGTTTACTTTTAATGTCTTGTTTTTCTTCTTCCAAATAAAAATAAAAATTTACACAGGTGATCTAGTACCACGTCATCGGGAAATCTTTGAGAAAAATTGCTTTTTCAAAGGTTATAAACTTATTGTACCTGAAAATCGAGTATGTTCTTCCCAGTTTGTTTATTGATTTGTTTTTAAACATCACTGAAGATGTATATGAAGTTAAACAAGCAAAAGAGCCTATCGTCTGGTTTGATGCGACATTGTTATAATGGTCTTGATCAAATATGGAGGTGATTTAAGTTATGTTAGCGAAGAATTCTAGTTCGACAGGAACCTAGAAACGATTGATTAAAGATGCCCATTATAAATTTCAGATGATTGACTGGTTGACAAACAATACTCTTTTCGATGACTTCTTCATCAGGTTCTCTGGTTACGCATCCATAATAGTCATGGAATAACTGTTACTGGCAGTATTAGTGTTTTAAATAACGTCGAATCCCTAACACCAATTGTTTGAAATTCGAAAGCATCTCTAAGTGACGATTTGCATCAGTATAACACTAAACTGTATATCGGATAAATAAAGTAAAAGAATAAGTAGTTTATGTATGCATAAGTTCTACAGCATGCCAGGGTAGCACTAGTGGCTAGACTTGTTTCTTCTGTACGCGAAGTTCCGGTTATTGTTAAACGAATTGCAATGGCCTCTTCTATTTGGAGTATTAGGGACCTAGAGGCTGTTGGCAACTTATTTCTTTCCCCATAGACTATGAAAAAAGACTCTTCAATGCTAAATTTATAGCTTGTTTGAACCAGGAAATCTAATATCGAACACACATGTAGGTGTTCTTGAGCACGAGAAACCAAGTTTCTAGAGCGACTGTCAATATGGCTAGCTGCATAGCTGCAGCTTAATTGATAATGCAGGAAGCTGTGGCTAGTCTAGGTACTTCATCTTTCAGTTGAGAAGTCAAAACCGGTATTGTAGGAAATATCAACTGCAGCTTACCAGCATTAAAAGTTCTTTGAGTTATTTTACTCAACTTTCTGTCCATTACTTCCCCTTTGAATTCCAGTCGCATATGTAATCATGTTTTTGGTGAAAATGAATTCACAACTTTATTGAAATATTCAAAAAGATGGATAAACGTTCAGTAATGTAAAAGTGTGTAGTCTTTTAGTTATAACGACTAAAACAGAAAGAAGTATTCTGGTCTAAAAGCAGAGAACCAATCGATGCGTTCTTCACGATACCTAACCAAACTTTCGCGGGTGATTCAAAGTCCTAAAATGTCCTGACAGTAGCGAAAAGACAGTTATATGCGATAAAATCTGTGGTAATATTAAACTATAATAATACTTCAAAAACGTGGAACTACCTCATCAATAACGCCAGTGCTTATCCTCCAATTCCCAAAGTATTTGTCTTACTGAGACTAGAGATAAATACAAACAACAAATCGATAATCCAAGATACGAGATATATTTTGGGATCAGAATTGTAGAATGACGATCGTTGCTTATCTGGTTTAGCGCCTATTCACAAATAACCAAACATAATACGATAGCGTGTCAAACGGTGTGGGTGCTTGACCATGTACCTTCAGTCTAACTAGTCCGCTTAGACAATGAAAGTCAGTACCCAATGGTGAATGTAGAATTCTGTAGACTAATAATTTGGGGCATTATTTACAGCTTATGGGTTATCATAAATAATAAAGAATGCTCTTTAGAAGTAGCGGTAGAGATTTAATTTGCGAAAATGTCTGTTACTTAACCCTAATCTTAATTTATACCTAACTTTACCTCGTGACTATATGTGATTGTCATTTGGATGAATATCAACAATTTTATGAGGAACTGGGAGTTATCGCTGAGTGCTTTAAAGAGAAAGACATTCTGTTTGACATTCTTGCACTGCTTTAAACACTTTTTTCATTTATGCTTAGTTCCTTCCTTCAAGCCAGGTGAGGGCTTATGGCGAGTTGTCATCTGAAGTGGTGACGACTAGTGGCGTCCGTCAAGGATGCCCATTATCCCCATTCCTATTCAATTTCATCATAGATGTACTAATGGACTTAACCCTAACTCACTTCAGCGACTCAGGGATTGACTTGCTACCAGGAAAGAATCTCGTTGACTTAGAATATGCGGACGATATAGTCCTTCTAGGCGAGGAATCTGACAAAATGCAGAGTCTACTGAACACCCTGAGCAACAATCTCCGCATGTTTGGCATGCGATTCGCCCCTATAAAATGTAAGATGATGCTGCAGGATTGGACTTCATCGACCCCTATATTAGAAATAGGAAGTGAAGTGGTAGAACACGTTGACCGCTTCACTTACTTGGGAAGTACCATCCATCAGCCCCAACAAGTTGATCTCCGACGAAATCTCAGCACGAATACAGAGGGCTAGGTTCGCATTCGCCAGTTTTCGCCATCTCTGGCGTATACGTGATATCCGACTATCGACCAAAGGGCGTGTGTACTGCTCAACAGTCCGCTCCGTCCTCCTTTATGGCTGTGAGACCTGGCCATTGAGATTGGAAGACATGAAAAGATTAGCTGTCTTCGACCATAGGTGTCTGCGTTCTATCTCCCGCGTGAAGTGGTCTAATAAGGTGAGCAATATTGAGGTTAGGCGTCGAGTGCTAGGTAGGGCGGGGAAATCAATCGACGAGACTGTGAAATTACTTCGACTGAGATGGTTAGGACACGTGCTACGTATGCCTAGTCATCGCCTTCCTCGACGGGCAATGTTAGCTGATATAGGGTCAGGCTGGAAAAGAGCTAGCGGCGGTCAAACCAAAACATGGCACCAATCAATGAAATCCACAACAGTTAATCTAAGCCACGTAGGAAGATGTAGACTCCCTGGTTGGGGCCCTCGGGATGGTAAAAACCAATGGTTGGAAACAATTGGTGACATGGCTCAAAATCGTTCTCAGTGGCGCAGATGCATCCACTCCTTGTGACTTATGATTTCCAATTAAACTGTTTTGTTCTCCGTTATTACTATTCCTTTGTCTCACACCTCTGTTTACTGTCTATATTATGCATTTCTTCTACTTTCTTCTCTCGCTTTGCGTGCTACATGGATTGTGGCGACTTGAACTGCCGCACATATGTGCAAAGTTCTATGTCGAAAACAGACAGACAGACAGACAGATTAGTCACTTCAGGTTAATTTATGTGCTCATTCACTTAGATTGCTAATTTTAACTTCATCTAAAAACCTACAGCACAGTTATATTATGTCACTCATTATACATATCCAAACACACGTGCTGATATAAGTACAAAAGTCAGTGAATGTCACGTGAAAAGTAATAGCCAATAATTATACATTCAGTTATCACATGTACTTGTATAATTGATTAAAGAATAATTAAACGAAGGATCAAGACTCAAGGAGGATATCGTTTCCTGAAACTTCGTAATATCTAAGCTATTCATATAAGTAATATTTTAATGTGGGTTATCGAATCTTAAATTGATTCGAAATGATTTTTAAATTCCGTCTTTGACCTTAATAAAACAAAGTCCAAATCAGTCTTTGCTTGTAAAATTTGAAAATATACCCTGAAAGTTAAAATCTAATACATAATTCATGTAGATCAAGTGTGAAGATCTACAACACTCATTACAAGGAGGAAGATTCGAATTTTTAACGCTAATGTCAAGTCAGTTTACGGTTTTATATGCTTCAAAGAATTGGCCTTCACCTCACCAAAAGCATTTCCAATAGGCTAATTCACATTTTCACCAATACCGGCTTTCTCTGCATAGTGAAGATCGGATGGCCGATAGCAAACCATAATCAACAAGTAACTCAGGTAGTGAGTGAATTAGTTATAAATTCATTTCCCAACAAATAGAGAGAAAGAAGTTTAGATGAACTGGGAGGTCCTGGATTGGAATCTCGACAGATGTGTGCTGCCAATGAGTCTACAGCTAGGACGAAACGGCTGTCTCGTACTACCTGGTTTTCACTGTTTCGACGCGTGAACAAACCTCAAAGAAATAAAATCTCTGCCAACTAACTCTCAAAAATATAGATGAATTGAATATTCGTTGACGAGACCCTTAAACAATATTACACGGCAGAAAGGCAGTCGAGTGGAATCCAAAAGGAAAGCGATGGGCTATGTGTGGGTGGAAAGGTCATATGGACGAGATTATGTGAGAGGTGAATGACATCTTGTGAGCGGTCGTTGAGCAAGCTGAACATGATGGAAGAGAACCGAGTACAGTAGGGATGCATATAGCTGGAAAAGAGTTAGGGGCGAGTAGATCAAAATATACCATGAATCTATGAAGTCTTTGACTGTTTGTTTTAATCCATTCGGAGAGATGTAGACTGCCTGCTTAGAGTCCACAAGATGATAAGGAAAGTTTGTTGGGAGACTGTTGATGACATGGCTCAAAGTCGTTCTCAATGAAGCAGTTGTATTCACCTATTGTGATATCCTAAATTTCTATTGAAAAAGGTCGTTATGACTTGCATTATGTAAAGCGAGTCATCTTCTGTCTCGACAACTGATGTTAGCCAAAGTAGGATACAACTAGAAAATAATTAGGACTGTGAATAATCAATTACTCAAAAATTCTCTCAATGATGTTCATTTCTTCAATATCAGATTATCTTTCAGATTCTTTATATCATCAATACAACTTACTGAATTAGATATAAGCGTTCTCTTTCATTCAGATTGTGACAACTTGACCTGTCACATTTCTGTGGCATATTCAATAAATAAATAGTCTTGGCTTATAGGGATTTTATTGATTGGCTACAGGATTTCATCATGAGCTGACATCGGTTATAGAACCACTGGAAAACCTGGGAGTACTGGACATCTGTTTCGTCCTAGTTTGGTACTCTTCACAATACACACCCACCGGGGTTCGAACCCAGGACGTGTAACCAATCAATCAAGTCCCTACATACCAATACTTGAAAATCAATGAGATGCTCACTAGCGACTGGTCCTATTCAGGTAGATAATTACCTGGGGTTTTAGTGGGACGTCGTGACCAGTAGGGTGCAGCAGGTCGGGTGTGACGACAAATGCTCACCGAAGGCATTGGCTGGCGGGCGCGCTATGTCATGAATTGGTAGAAGTTGGAATTCATGGGTTGGCCACTGGATTGGGTCCCAGTGGCTTAATGGTCTCCGAGCTTGCCTTGTAACCAGAAGGTCCTGGGTTCGAACCCCAATAGAATGAGTGCGTTCTGCAGAAGAATCACAAACTAGGACGAAACAACCATCCAGTACTAATATTTGGTTTTCCAATGGTTCTCTAACTGATGTCAGCTCATGATGAAATCCTGTAACCAAATAAATAGTAGATATATCGCCTTGTAATCCTGTGGAGACACTGAAAATGAAATTTTCACAGGACACCTTTATCAAGCCAATAAATATATTCCAAAAATTTCCTAATTTTCAATGATTCATTAAAAAATTCTTATTTGAGAGAAAATCTCTCATGAAATCATTTTAATTTCTGTAAACTTAACTTGTGATCATATTTATCAGTCTGTTATATTCTTTCCATTTTTACCTGGGTGTGTTTGATTTCATTTTTACAGGAAGATTTAGAAGAGAAATTCACCTCGTTACAACCGCCTATCACTTCAAAAGAATTAAACTTTTTACAGGTATGACAAATATTTACTACATTTAATTGTAATTACTGATCATTTTGTTTGGTGCATTTTGAACTTTAATACTTTCTTTCTAATTTCGGTGACAGTAAGTTATCGAAAATGTTGGTAACAATAATAATAGTAGAACTTCTGCTAGAGATATCGAATTTTCAGCATGTAATACAATATTGCACCTAACTTTCTCATTACAGGGGCAGTAATTAAAATATGGCATTCACATTAATAGTAATTTACATCTATAATGCTGTTCAACAAGAAGTTGGTTTAGCAACACCCCACTTGCCCTAATGACGGCTTTTAGTGCCCTACGCAGCATAAGAAAGTCTTTCTTAAGTAGCCTAGGAAAGATTAGGCTGGGGAAGCAGCGAAGTAATGCAGGCAGAATACCACAAGAATTAACAAACGGTAACAGTAAAGACAGAATGATAACAGATCGTCTTAACTTCCATACGTAGAATGCAAAACAGAATATCTTTCTGGAAAATAACATGATGTGGGAAGACCAGGAAAGGTGATCAGAGGAAATACACTGTCCAAGGTATTTAACATTCGATTTGGTTTCAACTTCAGTACCTTTTATCTATGATAGCAGAGAGGTGCAAACTAACCAGTTCACGTAACTCGCGCTCGCATCTGAAAGTGAAATTAACAACCTGATATCGGAGGGACTAAGCTGAGACCATTTCATGAGGACCGCTGGCTAATTTCTGATAAAAAGTTATTCATTTTGGAACAGTCTGATTGAGAAGTAACAGGTATAGAAACATTCAGATCATCGGCACACTTGACAAAATTACCTTTGTCACAATGGTGTAAGTCATGTAAGAAGAAGGAAAACAGAAAAGGAGAAAGAACAGATCATTGACGAACACCAGCTAGAGTAAGTGAAGCAGTAGAGGATTTCCCATTGTAAACAATGTACTGCTTCCTATCGGAAAAATAGGAATACATCCACTTGGTAATCTAACACTGTACTTGTGAGGCAGCAAGCTTGTTTAACAAAAGAGGCCTAGGTACAGAGTCGAAGGCAGATGTGTAATGTAAGAAGGCACACCGAATACATTTGGAACCTCTGTCCAAACTAGAGACAATATTATGACATAAGACAACAGTGGCATCCGAAGTACACCTACTATTTTTATAAGCAAATTGATTAGGGTCCTAAAAGGCCTTCAATGTAGGTTCAAGGTTAAGTAAAAGCAGTCTTTCCATTATTTTAAAAAAAGGGTGAAGTGATGGCAATACGTCTGGACTTAACAAATGATGAGTCGTCTACAATTAAATGTTGATGATAGATTGCTACCTTCATTGTCGACTCTAAGACCTTTTGTTTGTTTGCCTGTTATATATATTTAATTATTGTGATTGATCAGTTCTACTGTGTAATTATGATGTATACTCTTAACTGATGTGAGTTGCTGAGAATCCCTCACATCAAGAAGTAGTGCTTTCATGATTCTCGTTTCCGAAAAAAACTAAGGCGAATTTCCATGAAGAATAGTGTAATTTGCTTGCAAATGATAAATATGATGCGATGCATTAACAGTTTAACCGAGTAGTTAGTCAAAATTCGGGTGGTTTGAATTCATTCAGCTCCCTGAACTGAGTCAACTCTGCTACACCAATGATAAGCTCGTCCCTAAAGGCATGAAACGACTGTATAGTGTTTCTATGACTTCATTCAGTCTGAATAGCAAGCACTAGTGCTTGACATGAACGACTTCAATGTACTTATATTAGTCAGTAGTATATACTTCCAAACACGAGAAAATATTTGAAAAATCTCCGTAGGCTAGTTCTCTTTTAACATCACTTCACTTAATCGGATTTCACTGAGTCATGAAATCTAACTTCTGTTAGTGTACGCTATAACAGTGCAGCTAACCATTGTCACTTTTGACTATCTGTCGTCATCCTGTAGGGTCTTAGATACGCACTGCCTGAGAACCTCAACGTACGACGATACAGCTGACGAATATCCAGTGCTTCCCTGTCAAATGTATGTTTATGACGAAATCTCCTCATTAAATCAACTAGATCTCCACGAGTCCAACTCAAAAATAGCAGCTTTTCTACAATTTTCGAATACAACAATTATCTTAGAAGAAAATATATATAATATATGAATAATCTACTAAATCAGCTGATTCCTTTTGGTTCTTTTAAACAGCGAAAAAGTATTCTTAAATCAATAATGAGGCAGTATAATAAATTGTAAAATCATATCCTTCACTCATTTAATTTGATAAGCAAAGGTATAAACGGTAATGACAAAATTTTATCCCTTCAGCAGCAATTGGAAAATTTGAACTAAAATGCCAATAAATTTCATTTGCCTCCATTCGAAAGTCATTTCTTTTATGATGAGGTTCTAAGAGTTCCATCTTAAGAGAAGCCCACATAAATGATGGTGATGATGGCTAACTAAACCATTTAAAAGAATTACTGTTCATTCAGTCGTTGCAGAGAGAAATACTGATAGGATTTCTCATTTTACAGTGTGGTTGTGTGTGAACTACCTATCACTAAGTACGACCGACTACTTGAATACTAGTTCATACTGAAGTCATCATTGAAGATGTTGTCCCGAAATACTGTGAAAGCACAGATAAAACAACTACACCAGTAAAAATAAAGTTAAATGAAAACAATTTATGCAATTACATCACTGATACATTCAACTCTAAATCGATTAGAAAGCAACTGTGAATTTGAAAGGTTTTCAACAATCTACTACTTTAAAGTTACATCAAGGATTAACATCAGACAGAGAATCATTGAAAACCGAGGGATATTGAACATCCATTTCTTCCTGGTTTGGGACTCTTCAGTGATACTCACTCATGACCCCATCGAAGATCGAAATCAGGACGTCCAAGTTTCCTAATGATACTCTAACTGATATCAATCTGCCAACTAACTGGAAACTAATCAAATCCTTACGAAACATAACTTGAGTGCTTACTATTTATTAAACTATGCAATGTTTATCTGCAAATCTACACATACTAATTATGGAAACTCTGATTTCTTTACTTTTGTTTACTTTGCAGATTGTTATTCTATAGATTTACATAGCTTTATTGTAAATACATTAGAACTATCGGATGTAGATGTAGTAAGACAACTTGAAAATTATTATGGCTTAAGCAGGAAACTCTTCTAATGTATTACAAGCTTAACAAACTATTATTTTAACTAATTTACTTAATTCCTTTTGAAAGCATAGATTTCAACCTTCTCTGATTTCTAATAGAAAAGACTGAAAAACAATTAACGGGTCATTAAAAATGTTGAAACATTAAGGTTACATCTCATCAATAGGTTTGTATGAAACATTAATTATTACTTGTTGGTACAGTGATATCGAGTTTATACAGTGTCCAAGATTCACAAAAGCAATTTGCCATATAGACCAGTACTCCGTATGTTTAGATTACCAGACCATACAGCTGAATGGTACAACTTTTACACCCATAAATCAAAAAGGTTTGTAAACACAGGTTTTTTTTATTGCTTCACGTTCCCAGTGGAAAATAGGGCTTCAAATTAGAGTCTTGAAGCTTCTGTAGCAGTGTTTATTTTTACAGGATGGAGTTGCTAGCCTCACGCCTAACCTTTCCTCTTCACCACCTTTATTTCTGGCTTAGTGAGGTGAAAGAGTGCGTCGGCCGGGGATCAAAGCCCGGACCATATGCATGGTCGGCGAGTGTCCTAACCACTATCCCACCGACGCACAAAACACAGGTTACAATCCTGCTTTTAGTCTTTGAAGAAAATGGGAGACTTAAAAGAGGACGATAAGTTCGTGATATACTAGGATACGTATTCTTTATTCACCAGTGTGTCTTTGATGGGAATAGTAGATTAAATATGCAATGAAATAACAAATAAATGTAAAGAGATTGATATTCCTATGTCTTCATTAAAGAAGCATCTTTCAAGATGCACAATAAACTCACATTTTCTGTTCAGTAAAGAGATATGTACTGTCAGTTAAATGATGTTGCTATAGGATCAACACCATTTCCAATTCTAGTGGACCTTTTCCAAAAGAAAGATGTAATAAGTCATCTGAAGTTCAACTGTTGTTCCTAGATGAAACGTATTATATCGTTATAGTTGATGGTCGAAGAAAAAAAATGAAAATCTGTGCCGTCATTGGATTCAAAATAGCTAGTCTGGCACTCTACTAGCTGTAATACGACAACCAACTAGGTGACCATTTCCTTTCATTGCAAACATCACATCTATCAACGTCTGTCAAACTAAGAATGTCTCAGACAGGTTAACCATCAGATATAATGGAGATTTATAGCTCAGGTGGATGATTTTGATGGATTTGTGTTCTCTGGGCTGGGTGGTTTATTTGCGAAACCTTCATTGCCCTGCTGGGAAACATCTTCAGTGCATACTTCATTTCGATGAAGTGAGCTTTTAGATTTCTCCACGAGTTTATTAGTCATCTCTCCCGGTGACCTTGAACGTGGTTGGTTGTTTTTGTGTGTTTTCACACCCTCTAGGCTACTTGTATTGGTGTTGATTTTTCCTTGACCTGAAGTTTGACCATTTGTGTGTGAGATTTATTTCTTATCGATTGGCAAATTTTGTTTATATCTATGTGTCTTTGGATGAAGGTTCACTGGTATGCCAGGCTTCTAAAAATTCTCTAGCATTCTTGGTGTTTCCTCTGTGTAATATATGAACGTTGGTTTTCCCAGTCGAATTGATGTCCGTGGCTGTCTGTATGCAGTGAAATGAGCAAGGGAGTGGATATCATGTCTTTTGACTGCCAGTTTATGTTCATGGATACGAAGACGAAGGGGATGTCCACTTTGGCCAATGTAGTGTTTTTCGCAGTCGTTGTAATTTATCGTGTAGATGATGTTGGTTTTATCTTTTTTTCGCTGTTGAGCGTTTTGGATGACACAGAGCTGTGTGAAGTGATTTTGTTGGTTTGTGTGCGACATCAATTCCTAAAGGTATGAAGAGTCTTGCAGTGATTTCTGAGATGTCTTTATATATGGTGGGGTGATTTTCTTTGTGCTTTCCTTGGGGGCCTTTGATTTGATAAGTTGGCTTGGGGGGTATATGTCTTTTGATGAAATTCCGCGGAAATCCATTCTTTTGAAAAACGTCCATGGGATATTTTTCTTCAACTTTCCTCAAGGTAGGAATGGTCATTTATAGAGGTTTTACCAGCCTTAAGAAAGACTTCACTACAGATCTTATAGAAAATATTCTTGGCCTTGAAGTAACTCCGGTCTCTGAGCTGAATCAAACCGGCTTCATCGTTGAGGAGCTCAACCACAAATAAGCCGAACAGCCTTTCGGTATTTAATCACTACGATCTAACTAGCAAGCACTACTGGTTAATGTGAACGATATCGAACTACTCACATTAACTCGTCAATCCTTAGTACATAACATCACGAATTTATGCTTGATTTCTTAATTACCATTTATGCTACCAAACAGATCACACATTGTGATCTCAATATTTTTGATTTCCAAAAGACAAAACTGCAGTGTGACTTAACCTCAGGCTGTGTAATTAGCAAATTGCGAATTTAATTATATTATCGGCTTTAAGTGAATACTAACGACCATATGGGTAAACCAACAAAGGGACATAAGCTTACCATGTGGGAACGTTATCAAACAGTCAGGTGATTACAATATTGTAGCTCATCATTTCCAACCTATGCTACTGTGTGACATACTGCAATGACATACTATTTCTAGTATATGATTAAACATGTCCTCACACAGAACTCAGGGCATCCTATCGAATTCGGAAACCTCAGTTGATAATCCAGCCATTGGTATGGAATTCATTGATCTATGAATTCTAATTATTCCTAATTTGTGACATATATAGCGCAACCGCCAGGCAATGTCATCGGCAGGTATTTGGCCTCAGACTTAATCTGGTGGACTCCACTGCTCACTACTTCTCGCTTTCATTTTACCTCCAGTCTTCGCTTATTACAACAATGAACTAAAACTATCACAAGTTTTTTTTCTTTCCTTCACGTTCCCCAGTGGAACATAGGGCTTCAAGCTAGTGACTTGAAGTTTCTGTAGCAGTGTTTATTTTACAGGATGGGGTTGTCAGCCTCATGCCCAACCTTTCCTCTTCACCAGAATTATTTCTGGCTTAGCGAGGTAAAGGAGTGCGTCGGCCGGGAATAGAACCCCGGACCATGTGTATGGTCGGCGAGCGTCCTAACCGCTACGCACCACCATAAATTCTTTTCTCATCAATTTTTCAATTTTATTAACAGTTTCTATCCAAAGAAGTATAAGTAAAGTCGGAGTTTCATTTGTATGACTAAAATGAATTCATTATTAAACTGACTCTTACCTTGGGGGATGGGGCTGGAGGGGAGCGGTTCAATGTCAGATTGCTGGCCAACCACGCAGACTGTCTAGGTTCGATCCCCAGCTAACTTACATCAAATTCTCGCCTAGTTTGCTAGTTGATAGTAAGCCGCGGAAAAGAAGGAAGATAGTGTGTTTGGGGCTTTATGTTCCATTTGGAACACAAATAATGAAGAATAAGAAATTGACTCACTTGAATCTATCTATACCATACTGAAGGTAAAAATTATTAATTTACTTACAGTGTATGTAGATAAAAGTTAAATTGCCTTGCAAACAGTCACTCGAAATGTAAATGGCTTAGACTGATGTAACTACCTAAGTTATGTTAGTCGGCACACACCGCCGATAAATTCAGCCGAAAATGAGTCACATCGATCTCTCTGAGAAGCACTATAGATTGACATTTCCGATCTTTAATCTCATATATTCATCAGTAGCACATTGTATGCTGGAAGTGTTTAACTATGAGTCTACCCAAAAGAATAAAAGTGTGTACATAAAACAGACAATAATTACTAATGTCCGTATATTTTAAGAAACAGCTGTTAGTCAATTTTGATTATATAAACCCTAAGTTTTATAAATCATATTTCAGTATGACTACTATTTCATTAATGATCACATTTCTTACAATAACTGTCTTAATATCGAACATAATTTCGAAGTTGTTCGTCTATCTGTATCTGGTAGTAGCATCTAGAAGGCGAATTTCATTCTGTTGAAGAATCATCAGTTGGACATACCTGAATTCCAGTAAGTGGGTGTGTATTCTCACTGAGACCTTAAAACTCATCAAGCATTGCTTCCAGCACAAATGGATGAAAGTGGTACCAGTGGAAGAATCACAGACGGGACGAAACATACTAACTAGATTTCATTAATATCTACCAAATAAGAAGTCATAAGCAATACTCCGACATATCTTAAAGCAGTTTATAGACTAACATGAAGCTAATCAATTCAGTACATCAATATCAAAGTGAGAATGGAGCTGTGAACAACAGTAAGGAGTGTGAAGTGGATGCTTACAGACGGCATACATGTAATGCCTGTTGTGTAGTTTCATCCTGTTGAAATGTTTTACATTACTCTTACAAATCGGATGTTCACCTACTGATCTCCAACCTGTTAACTGTTAAACAGTAAGCACTATCGATGAGTGAAATCCATTCAGTAACCAACAGCTAATATTACATGTATGCATTATTATTCCCTTGGATTTTGAGTGGAAGGTAGAGCTTCAGAAGCACTTTTTTATTCCACTCAATTCTTTAGAGTCCTTCTTCGCTGGTTTCCACGATTGCCCATAAATCTCTTCTATGTCATCCTCGGACTCATGTACAACTCGTTGTTTACCATTCAGCTTCCACTCAAGAGTTTGTCTGGCGTTTTATGTCATTCAGTGGTCTTCTTAACTAATATCCAATCCGTCTCCATTTTCTTCAGCAAAAGGTTCTGACTGGCTTAGAGTTCCTTGTTATTTACATACTCTTTCTAACCATATGATCTTCAGAATGAAGAGGAGGCAGCTGTTGATGAAAGTCTGCAGCAAGCTTTCCATGATGTCAGCGCTAAGTTCATATTATCCATCCCTAATTTCACGCGTCGGTGACACAGAAGTATAATGCTCACCAACCACGCCCTACACGGTTCGGGGTTCGATCTCCGGCCGACTCACTCCTTTACCTCGCTAAGTCAGTAATAAGACTGGTAAAGAGGAAAGATTGGGCATGAGGCTAGCAACTCCATCCCGTAAAAATAAACACCACTGCTACCGAAACTTCAAGTCTCTAGCTTAAAGCCTTATGTTCCACTGGGAACGTAAAGGCAGAAAAGAAATCCTTAATTTCACTTATCCGATAGTTAGTTATCACTCATTATATATCTTTTCATTTTATTTTAATTTAGGCTTGTTTAAGTATGGATCCAACAGAAAGACTTAATAGTGAAGCATTACTTAAACATGCATATATGGAAATGCATAATAGACAATTACAATATTATCATGGTGAATTAAAACAAATATCTAATCCTGGAGCTGGAACAGGAACTGCTGCTGCTGGTGGTGGCGGTGGTGGTGGTGATGGACATTATCATCATCAACAACAACATTATGCTGGAATAAAAAAGAAACCTGAACGTAATTTTATTCAAAATTCTAATCAACTGAAATCAATAATGATAAGTCAATTAGGTACAAATACAAATACAATAGTACCAAGACGTAAATACCAACAACAACAACAACAGCAACAGAACCAGCAACAACAACAAACAAATGATCGAAATCAAACAACTGGAACACCGAAAAATGAGCTACAGTCCATTTCACCGACATGTTTTGCTTCAACTAGTATTACGCCAAGTTTTAATGCAGGTCGAACAAATTGGTTTGTACCTGGGATTGTAGGTCAAGGGTTATATAATGTAAGTGTATTAATACTTGCAGACTTTATATTTTCTTATTACGCAATCAAGAGTATTGCCTACAGTATAACACTGGGAGGAAGTTAGTCAGTCAGTATATAATCGCTGTAGTTAGTTACGTATTCCTTTTATTATGGCGGTATGTTTAAATCAGTGGAATACTTAAATTTTAAATTGAGCATATTCATCTTAATTAATCACTGATATCCTTGAATCGCAGCATGTACTCAAGCAGATTCTTAGATAACCATCAACCTACTGGTGTGTATTTCCCGATGGATTGGATCTTGCTTCAAATCTACCAATATACCATCGTATTATATATTACCGATTAAAGCATTACATGCAGATTTATTAATAATAATAATAATAATAAAGCTTTATTTCAGTCAATATATGAACGCATAGTACAGAATATTTCGTGTTCATACAGGATTTACATGTAAAGTAATAATGTGAAGTATATCGTGTGATGTAGTGTTGTTGTATACGAAATGAAAATCAATTCCGTACACTGTTTATTCATTTCCTTCAAGAATAATTGATCAACACTGCGCTGAAAACTAACTAAATATATCCTTGAGCTCATATAGTGATCATCTGATGCAGTTTCATAATGAAAACAATAAGAAATGAAGAAGAGTTTAAGTATTCTAATGAATGGAAATTCTGGTAACCCATAGAGATTTAAGCAGGCCACCGTAAAAGTAGTAAGAGTTTTGCAATTAAATAAGCTTTGAATTTGGTACTGTATATAAACATACTGTCCAGAATATAAAGCTGTTACCGTTATTTATTATTATTGTTTCATTTAATTCCTAGAGGAACATAGGGCTTCAGCCGTGCGTCTCCATTGCGTTCGGTTCTCTGCTAGAGTCTTCACCTGGCTCCAAGTCTGCCCACACGCTTTCATCACCTCTTCACATGACCTCCTCCAAGTCACCCTTGCACTGACGACCAACTCACCGCTTCCCTTTCGGGTTACACTCAATCGATGGGCTGTCGTGTGATGTCACTTGATGGATTGTTTCTTCAGAGTATGGCCAGCCAATCCATCTCCACTTCTTCCTGCCTATTTCTTTCACAATCGGTTCCTGCTGTGTTGATTCGCTCCCAGAGATCCCTGTTGCTGATCTTTTCTGGCCGACTGGCCACCTGATCTTGAGTGGTATTGAGCGAAGACAACTGTTAATGAAGGTCTGTAATTTGTTTGAGATGCTCTTTATGACGCGCAGTGCAAGTCTCTGATCCGTATAGTAGCACTGACTGACTTCACATTGGAGTTAAAAATCCGGATCTTATCTTCGTTTTGATGCTGAGTGCTGTTGACCTCCACACAGACTTGAGAGTAGTGAAAGCTTTTCTTGCTTTTCGGATTCTTGCTTTGATATCCTCGTCAGTTCCGTCCGCCTGTAGTTGAAACGATGCTTCCCATGTAGGTAGGTAAAGGAGGTTGTTTCTTTCAGGTTCCTCCCATTTATGCTGGCTGATTGTTGTTGTTGCTGTTGGTGGTGTTGCCCAGGAATCTTCATCACCTCTGTTTTCTCTATCTTCACCTGAAGGAAGTCCTATCTTCCCTGGATGCTTCTTCTGCCAACTTGTTGCTTTTCGCTTGCATATCTTCCAGTTTGTGGGAAATCAGTCATATGTCACCATCGGCGAAGTCCAGATCCTCCAAGTTTTCTGTGTGAGTCCATTTTATGCCTATTTCCTCATTGCCCACTGTTTGTCACATTATCCAGTCTACTGCAATCAGGAAAATCATTGGCGGTAGTAGGCAGCCTTGTCTTACTCCTGTTACCGTTATATTGTATTAATTCTCATTAAGTCTGGATAAATCAGTCTAATAAAGTTCGGAGAATAAGATTTCCCAGACTGTTCAGAACAAAATAAAAGTAACAGCTTATGAAATCAAGTCATCGAAGGTTTGAATCACTTGTCACAAAATATGTGCATGCCAATGTTCAATATGGATTTATATAATATCGCACTTATTATTATTTATTTCCTTGAGTTCGGAGTGAAATATAAGGCTTCAAAAGAACACCTCCATTTTGTCCTGTTCTCCAAAGTCTTCTTCGTCTGGTCGCCCGATCGCCCATAATCTTTCATCTCCTCCTCACACAATCCCATCTATGTTACCTTCAGACCCGCAACTCGTCGTTTCCTGTTAGGGGGCCATTTGAGGGTCTGGCGCGCGATGTCCCCCGGTGGTCTCCTCAGCGTGTGGCTGATGCATCTCCAATTTCTTCTACATATTTGTTGAGCAATAGATTCTTCATTGGTTTCTTCCTGGAGTTTCTTATGGCCAATTCTTTCTGGCCACCAAATCTCCGATATGGAGCAAAAGCAGTTGTTGATAGAAGTCTGCAACCTCTTAAGGATATTTTTCGTGAAACTTTCACCAAGTTTTTGAGTCACATAGGAGAACTGACTTCATATTTGTTTTGAAAATCCGAATCTTGTTCTTTATGCTGAGTGAGGCAGAAGATTTGCAAACCGATTTCAGATTGATGAAGGTTTGCCTTGCCTTTCCTATTCTGATTTTGACAACTTGATCCACGCCACATGTAGTTCAAACAATTCTGACCTCCTTCAAATGTCTTTCATTGATATAATTTCGCACTGAATTATGAATATCCTTATCAATACGTAGACTATAACTCACTTTGTTATTTTTTTCTAATTTATGATACCACCCGAATATTCAAACCTCAAAAGTATTAAACGCTTCACATTAAATGAGTCACACTCGAGTTGACCCTAATAATGTAACATTAGAAAGCTTAAAATTTCTGCGTTCGCGTCTTAAGAATTTTTATAATGAAGCGTTTGAACGATAGTAACTTGGCTATGCTCGACTTAGTAAATACAACCACTCATATTAGATGGTGTTGCAGCTGTATTGCAAACTGGCAAAAGGTAAAATTTTTGAGCCGTTTTAATTCAAACTCCCAGTAGCTGAATGGGTAATATGTACTCTGAGGTCGTGAATATCATCGTTGGTGGGGATCATAAGTACAACCTTTTGAAGAGTCCTAAAATAGGATGGAACAACTATCCAGCTCTCATTGTTTTCATTGGTACTTTAAATGATATCGATTTGTAACAGTATCGGCCTTAAAAGTGATGAAATTACCACAAACTTGACTCCTGAAATAGTGCGCACTTAAAATATAGTTGTGTCTAAGCAAAAACTGCGAAAATGTCATGAAAACTTTAACAAATACACAACCTGATTAAATCTTAGCAATAGATTGTATAATTACAATTTAGAAGGGGAAATTTTCTCCTCATGAGTAATATTCTTTATTATTTCAATGTAGACCTCACCACGACCCAATGCCAGTTCTAGAGTAATTGAAAACAAGATAGCACTGGACAGTTGATTCACCCCAGTCTGGGACTCTTCAGCAGAGCGTACTCACGACTCCGCCAGAGATAGAATCCACGATCTTTGTGATACAAGGCCATCTCGTTGACCGTTGAGTCACTGAGTGAGGTTCTAATGACTCGAATTAACGCCATACAGCGAGTCGACAGAAGTTGGAGTTCACGGGTTAAAGAATTCCAACACAGTAAGCTAACCTTGTTATCTGAAGGCCCTAGGTTCGATTTCTAGTGGATTCGTGGATGGACACTGTTGAACAACAGTCCTAATCTAGAAAAAAACAGCTATTCAGTGCAACTCTAGTTTTTAATGATTCTTTGAATGGCACTGGTGATTCGTGACAAAATTTATACTGTGAATGCACAACATAAACTTCCTATTATGTTTCAAAGTTACTATTTCAAATAGACAGTGTATAATTTTTGAAATTTCATTTCATCATAACCTTTTCACTATGATAGAAGTAGTAGTATAATTCAGCACCGTGTATTCGTTTATTCCCGTTTATACTCCCCTTTTTAGTCATCACAAACAGGATTACCAGCGCTACCAACCACCAGTCAGCATATTCAACCGACATCGTTGAATACAACTGCAACAACGACAATCAATAATCCTCAGTCTCTAATGTTACCAAGTAATCAAAAATCAAATGCTGCTTGGAAATATACTAGAACGAATCAAGTCACTACAATGCCGATAAACAACAACAATAATAATACTATGAATACAGATAACATCAATTATGACAATAATAATAATAATAACAATTCATCCAGTCTAGATAATGGACATGTTTCTACCGGCGTAACTACAACACAAATGTCTCTTCATTCAAATGTCACTGGAATACACTTACCTAATATATAATCCATATATATATTTTACATGATTACCTTTTCTATTCACACTATGAATACAAAAGATTAGTGTAAATGTTTCATTCACAAACACACACACACACTCTCTTTCTCTCTTTAAGTCTCATTGTCTTTATCTCATTTCAAAAAACATTATCTTGTTCTATTCTTTCACCATTATCTAATCAACTTCGATTTCTGTTTTTTTCAATTTGAGGGGAGTATCATTCATGATTAGTCAGTTGAAGTAAGATTGACTGGCATTTGCTTTAGTCACATAAACATTGAATGCATTCTATTCTTATTCACTATACCACTGAGCCCTATTCATAAAAACCCATAAGTCATCACTATCATTATTACTATTGTACATACAAGTGAATATACTGGAATAAGTTAAATCAAGCAAATGCAGACACACACACACACACGCGCACAGACACGAAGTGATGATGGTTAAATTATTCGTTAGTGTGTATTACGAGATTACTTACAACCATCCGCATTGTGTGTGTCTGTTTCAGTTCATCAATGTTAACACAATCATCTTCATCATCATCTGTTTTTACATTGAAGACTAGTCATAGAGGCAAATATAATATATACATATATACATGTGTGTGTATCGTATTGATTCTCTTCATTACATAACTATTTAATCGATAATAAAAAAAATGAGTTTATCATAAGTGTTTTTACTGTGAACACCTACACATACTCGTTTGCTCGTATAATTTTTATAATAGTGCATACAATACGGCTTAATTTCTAGTGATCTAAATTATTCCACAGTCTCTCTCTTTTCATTGAGTTTTATTTTTTATTTGTACTTTTTCTTCCAATTTTCTGATTGAATTACCCGCCAAAACAAATGAAAATCCGAAAGATGGGGTGAATAAAGAGTAATAAATAATTCTTATACGAAATTCCTTCGTACGTCGGTGGGATAGCGGTTAGGACGCTCGCCAACCATGCACATTATCCGGGGTTCGATCCCCGGCCGACTCACTCCTTTACCTCGCCAAGCCAGAAATAATGCTGGTGAAGAGGAAAGGTTGGGCATGAGGCTAGCAACCCCATCCTGTAAAGTAATAAACACTGCTACAGAAACTTCAAGCCACTAGCTTGAAGCTCTATGTTCCACTGGGGAACGTGAAGGAAAAAAATATGAAATTCCATGGAAAATTGAGTAAATATATGTACTGAAGGTATATATATATGACTGACTTTCAAAGTACAACTCTACACAGAAGTGTACCAGATCAAGTTGCCACACGCCATTTAGCACACAAAGGTAGAGAAAAGAAAAAAAATTAAATGTAACATCGTGAGAAGGAATGTTCGAGAGAAAGAATAGGTGTGAATCTGAAGTATTACAAAGAGCGAATGTATCTCCGACACTGAGAATGATTTTGAGTCAGATAATTAAGTCTCAAACAACTGGTTTTTAGCTAAATGAGGACTTCAACCAGGAAGTCGACACCTTCCTATGTAGTCGAAGACTTAATTGATTGATGTCAGGTTTTTATTTGACAGCCTCTAGCTCCTTTATAGCTTAACCTTATGTGAACTAACATTGGTCAACGAGGAGGGCGGTGGTTCACTGTGCGGGACACGTGTCAGAGCCAGTCGATGTAGCTTCAAAATCTCACTGATTGACTTACTATTCCTTACCTAATAATTACTCACCATATCATACCACTACACACGGAAGAAAGAACAAAAACACCTATGGTCAAAGACGAATACTCTTTCCACATCTTTCACTTTCACTGATCATATCTTACATGCATAAAGAAGGACTAAGCAAACTGCTGTGCAGTACATACGCCCTTTGATGCATACCCGGATATAATACCTACGCCAGAGGTAAAGTCAATTGGCAAATCCCACAGAAGCTTATCTTGTCCGTGCTGAGATTCCGTCAGGAATTAGTCCATTAGTGCTGATGCAACTTCCCAAATAAATGAAGTGGTCAGCACAGTCAACTAATTCACTCTCAATGTTTAAACTGGGTGTCTCTTCAGACCAGTCCTGCATTATATATATATATATATGCTCCAGGATGATGTATAATACTGATTGTTAGGATTAATTAACCATGAACTGTGAGTGCTCATTAGATTGATCAAATTGATGGTTGTTTCGCTCATTTGAGGTTGGGTTTATTAGTAGTGTATCTGGCTTGACTCACTTCAGAGAGCCAAATCAGTTCAAATCATTGTTGATGAACTTATTTGTGAATGAGCGACATAACCCTCCAGCGTTCGCATCACTTCAATCAGACTAACAAGCTCTGACTGTTAATGTGAGTTGTTTCCAAGTGCTCATATGAATCACTAGAATACCTAATCCGGAAGTTTTGATTGACCTTTGGACACTAGTTTCCGAGTTTGACTCCCATTTCACCAGCTTCATCTTGAGTAGTATTCATAAATCTTCATATAACAAAATTTCGGCTAGTATCGTGAGAAGTAGAAAATGTGTTCCGGGTTTTTAATTTATTACTAACTTACTTTTAATTATCATATTGTTAAGATCAACAAACACTTGAATATTTTACAGATAACTGTGACACGCTGATCCGACCACACTCTGAGTTCCCTTTAGTTCTAATTCTACATTGAATAACAAGGGGAATTATATACTTTTGGATTTTTCTCTATATGAAAACATTTTCCATGATGTCAACATCGAAAACTGTCAGTTAAGATTGTCTGTCAACAGATATACATTACCACTGAGTTATTTGTTTAAGAGATCACTTTGACCATTTGTAGAAGTTGTAGCCTACTACCTAACCTAACAGTTGCGATACTCATTAACACATACAACTCAAGTAATGTTAATAAGTGAAGTAATATTCTATAAGCCCACTTTAACTCAATAAATATGAGGACTGATTTCATATACTACTGACGCCAAGCAACAGTATATACTACCCTCAAACTATTCTCAGCTGTTTTCTTGATCATCATTCATGCTATCAAGTAGATCGAATATTGTGATCTAAGTATTTTGGGTCTACGATGGAAACTTTAGTTAATTCTTACCACAAACTGTGATTTGCAAATGACGAATTTGAAGCAATAACGGTTAGGTGTGAAGAGGATCAGGTAGGGAATATTCATCGATTGAAGTGTCTAGGATAATGTTCGAGCATATAACGTCCCATGATAAGTAGTTAGGTTGGAAAAAAGTTAGGAGTGCTCATTTATATCGAAAAGATGAGTTTCAATCTATGAAATCTCTGACTTCTCGTTTGAACAATGCAGTTAGGTAGGTATAAACTGCCTAATTGCGATTCTTGCGACCCTAGGAATCGGCAGATAGAAAATGTTGATAACATAGTTTAAAGAAGCAGACGCATTCACTCTTTGTGATGTATTGAACACATTACACTCTTCGGTCGGTCGGTTGGTTTTCGACAGAGAACTTTGCATGTATGTGCGGCAGTTCGAGTCGCCACACCATGTAGCACACAAAGCAAGAGAAGAAAGTAGGAGAAATGCATAGTATAGACAGTAAACAGAGGTGTGACACAAAGGAATAGTAATAACGAAGAACAAAACAGTTTAATTGCAAATCATAAGTCACAAGGAGTGGATGCATCTGTGCCACTGAGAACGATTTTGAGCCATGTCACCAATTGTTTCCAACCATTGGTTTATACCGTCCCGAGGACCCCAACCAGGAAGTCTACACCTTCCTACGTGGCTTAAACTAACTGTTGTGGATTTCATTGACTGGTCCCATGTTTTCGTTTGACCACCGCTAGCTCTTTTCCAGCCTGACCATATATCAGCTAACATTGCCCATTGTCGAGGAAGGCGATGACTAGGCATACGTAACACATGTCCTAACCATCTCAGTCGATGTATTTTCACAGTCTCGTCGACTGATTTCCCCGCCTTACCTAGCACTCGACGCCTAACCTCAACATCGCTCACCTTATTATGCCACTTCATACGGGAGATAGAACGCAGACACCTGTGATAGAAGACAGCTAATCTTTTCATGTCTTCTGCTCTCAATGGCCAGGTCTCACAGCCATAAAGCAGGACGGAGCGGACTGATGAGCAGTACACACGCCCTTTGGTCGATAGTCGCATATCGCGTCTACGCCAGAGACGGCGTAAACTGGCATATGCGAAACTAGCCCTCTGTATTCGTGCAGAGATTTCGTCAGATTAGTGACAGCTTTAGTAAAGGCGTTGAAAAACAACGGTTATCCTCGAAAATTCATCAAAAAATATAAAAGATGTGAAGGTTCAAACATCAAACAAATCACAGTAGAAAAAAGCTTATCTTCATTCAACTCGATTTTAACGGTGAAACTATTGCAGCAATGGTCAACAGAAGATCGAGTATGTCACTAGCCCGAGCCTATCATGCAGCTAAGTTGGTTCCAGTCTATCGAACAAAATGCTCCTTGGTGCAGTTAGAAGTCAACAAATACCCTTCTCATGTTAACTCAAACTGTGTATACAAATCTACGTGTATCTGAGGGAGCAGTTCTACTGGAAGGACAGAAAGAACGGCACACCTCCGATTTTCTGAACATGTGCCAAAAAGCTTACGTGTCAAGAGAACAAATGCTTACAATAGTGCCATTACCAGACATGTCATCTCCATGGGTCATGAAGTGAAAATCGCGAAATTCTTTAAAATTATCAACAGACAAAGGAGCTCGATTGTCCTCAAGGTTGCCGAAGCAATTTCTATCAAACGATAGGAAACAGATTTATGTGTTCAGAAAGAAGCAGTTATCAGTCTCTTCTTGCCAAACTGGTAACTGGATGTCTTTATTCTATCCTTCATTTCATTACGTAATCCTTGGCTCTAACCTCACCCTCCCCAGTGATATTGTGTAATTTTGCTTGTCTCCTGTTTCTATGATTTGAGTCGAACTCAGTCCATTGTTACCTAGGTTTTAGTCACTCATCATCCTACGCATCTCTCGTCTTTATTACGTAACTCCTTCACCATTGTATACATACGTTTACTTTGTTTAAACTTGAACTCCCTGTGTAAAAACTATATAAGCGTAATTTTCTGAGCAATGTTCACTAATTGCGGAACCCTCTGTCAACTGACATCATGAAAAATTTGCAAGTATGTTAAACCTTTCTCTGTACATAAACCTCACAATTTATTTAGGCTGTAGGCAGCAGCTGATGAGAAGTCAACGAAATAAGCAATGATGGTACCATATTATTCTGCACAAACCATCACTGTTGTTCTTACTTTATAAAAACAAAAGAGAGAACAGTAAACATACTAAATATCCATTTTTCCTCTTTTTTTCTTTCCTATACAAATATGAGTATTATATATGTACAAAAATAGTAGATCCTAGACAAAAATTCACAACAAAAAAAAACTAGTCAGACAAAACAAACAAGGAAGAAGAAGAAAGGGCAAAGAAGGGAGAGAGAGACAACAGCCAACTATTGGCCTGAGTATATTACATATATATTTGTCTATTCATCTTTCTATCTATCTATCTGCATAGCTAATGAAACAATGTAAAATTAACTAAACGTAACATCCATACAAGATACGGTAAAGGAATATAATTACAAGCATTAAATCGAATCTCACTACTAGTCATCACAATTGGCATCAATGGTAAAATAGAATAATCTGTTAAAAGGGTATTCACTTTATTATTGTTATTATTGTCATTGATATTAATGTTATTATTGTTATTATTATTACTATTATTAATAAATTCACAACCTAGATAGGTATGTATACTGAATGGGCTAACTGAATCAATTAAATGAATTGCTTTAATTCTCTCAGCTGGTATAAAGGCAGAATACAATCTTCGACCAGTGAAATAATAACTTGATGTTTGTAAACCATAACCGGATATCACTAGAAGAGATTCTATAACACACAAGGAAACAAATAAAACAAAATGTTGATCAATATTTCAATCATAATAACAATAATAGTAACATTTAAGCATTAGTCTGTAGGAATTTTATTCAATTCAAATTATATCAGTTAGACAGCCATCAAAAACTAGAGAGGAGTATTGGATAGCCAATTTCGTCTTAGTCTGAAACTCTTCAACATTAACTCAACCCATAACAACCCCACAGGAGATCAAACCAAGGTGTCCTTCAAATTATGAGACGAGCCTATGGGATAGTTAGTGAGTACTGTTGAAGAAGCCCAAACTAGAAAGAAAGAGTTAGTTATTCAGTACTCTCGAGTTTCTAATGGTTCTGTAACTGGTGTCAGTTCGTAATCTAAGCTGACACTAATAATAACAATAATACCTTTGTTACTACTGAGAAAACACTTTCTCTTTCTTTTATTTTTCTAAAACAAGCACCAAAAGAGGCAGGTTTTCAAACGCAAATCTTTTGTAGCTTTATTCGGACTTCTGTTTGAAGTTAGGGTAACTGATGTCAACCCAGTATGACGTATAATACTTCAGAGTAAATGATGACACAAAGGCTTTAGGTCAATTGAAATGCTTCATTACGTGTTCCGGGTACTGGTGAAGGTTATTGATTAGCCGCGCAAAACATCTGACTAATAAATGGTTTCACTGACAGTAGACTTATTGAATCCGGTAGCTCAGATAATTTAGAACACCTTCCTTCCGACTGTTCACAGACTCAACTAAGACTTTTCAATTCGCTTATAAGGTCTCAACATAAAGCTTCACTCTCCTCGCATTGTTATAATACTAATTTTGTAAATATGACAGCGAATATAATCCACTTTCATAAGTAATATATATATATCTGAATATTTCTGAGTGGATTTAATAATAATAATAATTTGGGAACCATCGGCAATAAGCACCCACGGAGGTTCGAACCCAGCACCGTCCGGTTACAAGGCAAGCTCGTATACCACTCAGCCACTGGGAGCCGATTTAATGGCGAACCCATGAATTCTAACTTCTACCAATTCGTGATTTAGCGCGACCACTAACTAATGTCATGGGCGGGAAATCCTTACAAACCAAACTCTTGAAAATCAATGTGATGCTGGCTAGTGACTTGCTACAGGACAGAATTTCCTGGAGTGAGTTCTAGTGAGACGTCGTGACCAGTGAGGTCCATCCATTCAAGTGTGAGGATGGATGTCCCACCGGTGACATTGGTTGGTAGTTGCGCTAAATCACGAGTTGGTAGAAGTTAGAATTCATGAGATGGCCCCTGAATCGGGTCCCAGTGGCTGAATGGCATACGAGCTTGTCTTGTAACCAGAAGGTGCTGGGTTCGAACCCCTGTGGTGGGTGCGTACTGCCAATGATTCCCAAACTAGCATAAAACAGCTGTTCAGTACTCCAGTGCTGGTTTTCAATGGTTTTCTAACTGATATCAGTCCGTGGTCAAACTCGGAAAAACAAATCTAATCCTTACAAACCAACTCTTGAAACTAATAATAATAATAACAATAATAACTTTATTCTGGAAAACGCACAAATCTTCAAGTGAAGCAATCAGTGATAATTTATTGTTGGAGGTGGTATTTTCTATCTAAAGCATAATCCAATCTCATACAATACTTTTCCTTCATTTCCACTGAAAACTACATAAGAGTAGACTGAAATCGATTTAGCAATGGGAATGAGTACTGACTAAACGGTTCAAGGATGCAATCAAATAATTAAAATATAATATGAAATAGAGTAAATTTAGTGTATTGCGTAGGATGGAAAAATAAGTAGCGCTAAATGATTTAAATAGACCGGTAAGTATTACCTGAACTCGTATTGTTTTATTTGAGTTTCAGATCTACCTTAGTTCTGGACATCTTGTTCTCATAGAATAATAAGTATAATTCCTTAGTTTACCCTTCGTGATTGTGAATTACATGCTTTAGTCAACACGAAGTGCTAAAGGATTTGTTTAAAATGCTGATTCTAAAACCTTGCCTAGTTTACTAGTTCACTCGTTAACTAGCTATTCCTAGGCCCGGAAAAAGAACGAAGGCCGGGTGAAGGATTAGCGATTCTACCCCGGGAAATTAGTCCAATTTTTTTTGTGTTCCTTCAAGTTCCTAGTGGAACATAGGGCTTCAAGCTAGACGCCTGAAGTTTCTGTAGCAGTGTTTATTTTTTACAGGATGGGGTTGCTAGCCTCATGTCCAACCTTCCCTTTTTACCAGTCTTATTACTGGCTTAGCGAGGTAAAGGAGTGCGTCGGCCGGGGATCGAACCCCGGACCATGTGCATGGTCGGCGAGCGTCTTAACCGCTTTACCACCGACGCAGCAATTAGTCCAATCGCTACAGGAAATTCGAATCACAGAAAGCAAAATATAGGGAAAATAAACTTAAATTCTGAAACCACCGTATAAAGATTTTAACATCATGAAAAACCAACAATTCAACTGCACTTATGAAGCGAATTACATTGGCCGTTGTTCTAGGAAATTGGTTTTTCGTGCTCAGGAACACCGACCAGTGTGGCTAAATAAAGGTGTAGTAAAAACCATCAACAGTTCGATATTAGCCCACCTGGTGCAGTGCAAACAGGCAACAAAGCCAGCATTGAAGAATCCTTTTCTATCAGCTACCGAGTACCAAATAAATTGCTAAAAACTGCATACTCCAAACAGCAGAGGCTATTGCAATTCGCCTAAAACAACCGGTTCTCTGTGTACAGAAGAAACAGGTCCAATCACTATTACTACCCTGACCTGCTGTGGAGTTCGCAAATTCATAAATACCTTATTACATCGGCCTTTTTGATATGGCCCTCCATCCTGTACATATGAATTCCCCCTACTCCTTGTCATTACACTTGCATTAACTAACCTTTTGTTTTCTTATTTAAACGTAGTGATTAACTTACGCACTGGCACACACATAACGCACATAAAATTCAACCCTCAAATGTTTTTTTTCTCTACCCCCGTCCTTGACATGATCAATCATCCATTTGAAGTTTATAATCAATATGAATAGAATATAATATGGAAATGACTCATGAGAATTTATTACTATACATTCGTTGTCATTCATAATCATCGACTTTGTAATATTGGTGTTCAATTTAGTATTACAATTATACATATTACCACATACACATATTTCGGATTATGATATATTCACAATCTATTTGCAAACAACTTTTCGAATTCTGATCTAAATGATTCGATGTTACTGTTTTTAAAAACCACCAATCTTGTCAATAACAATCATGCTTTCATTATTATGGATAGATATATAACTGTAGAACCTGATGATGAAGTTATCGAAAATGAATATTCTTTGTTCAGTAATTAATCTTTTGAAATTTCGAATAGGCATCTTTAATCAGTACTAACAACTGTGTTATAGAGTGTGACCCAGTTAACCAGCATACCTTCGCGTAGGCGTGACATCCGACTATCAACCAAGGGACGTGAGTACTGCTCAGCAGTTTGCTCCGTCCTTCTCTATGGATCTGAAACATGGCCAATACGAGTTGAAGACATGAAAAGGTTATCTGTTTTTGATCATAGGTGTTTACGATCTCTTTCTCACGTTAGGTGGCATAATAAGGTAAGTAATGTTGACGTTAGGCGTAGAGTGTTGGGCAAAGAGGGAAAATCAATCGAAGAGGCTATGAAGTTACATAGATTGAGATGGCTAGGTCACGTGCTGCGCATGCCTAGCCATCGTCTCCCCCGACGGACGGGCATTACTAGCTGATATAGGCGCAGGTTGGAAAAGAGTAAGTGGTGGCCAAACAAAAACATGGCATCAATCCATGAAATCCTTGACAGTTAAACTGAGTCAGGTAGGGAGATGCAGACTTCCGGGTTGGGGCCTGCCCTCGAGACTCTAAGAATCAATGGGTGGAGACAATAGGTGACATGGCTCAAAATCGTTGTCATTGGCGCAGATGTATTCAGTCTCTGTAATCTTTCATATTCCTTTCTACCATTACTCATTCTGTTCCACTCTTATACTTGTCAAAACTCTATTGATTTTCTTCATTGATCTTCTTGTCTACCTTTGTATGCTATTTGGAACGTGGCAACTCGAACTGCTGCACTTCGGTGCCAAGTTCTATGTTGAATCCAGCCAGCCACCAGCATACCTTCAACATCGATATCGGTGCTAACTAAGCTGGACATCGATGCCAATAGGATGGTTTAGGGATAAACATAAATGGATGTAAATGAAATGTTGCTAAGCTACTCAAATACATTAGGATAAATGTATCCAAATACTTGTTCATTCATAATCCTATGCCTTTTGAATAACTTAGCAACATCCGGTCCCGATCGATATCTGCTGCTTTAACGTGGTGGTGGCTCTTGCCTATCGAAATGACCCAATGAACTACACTGGCTGCAAACAAATGTCCCTAGACATCCTATCATGCCATGTCAGTCAACATGTTGGTTACTTTCAGTCGGAAAAGTACTTCCTTTAATCTGAAAAATGAAGATAGATTTAGTTCCATATTAGTTTGTTTATTAGATATATCACACAGTCAAACAGTATTATCTACTGGATGACAAGGTTTCGAACAAAATTTATTGTTCATAATCATGCCATCCATTATAATCATACGACTTCGAAGTCATGTGATTTAGGCATAAACTTATGTATGACTACTGATTTGTAATGCACTTGACATACTATACTACATTTAAAACTGAATATAAATAATGAAGGCAGTAAGAAAAATGAATAGCACAGTTCACCTTTAAGCTATATAACTACACTTACCTTCAATAACAGTGTTGCGTAAATGCGTATAGATATAAATAACAAACGAGAAGAACAGGATGAATTGGATGAGGTAGGACTGAAAGACAGAAAAAGATTTTTTACAATGTTACTACATAAAGCCAAAACAAAGTAATTTGACAAAAACAAACTGATGAAAATTTTGCTATCGAATTAAACAGTATACCTGTCAAGACAGGAAAGAATCCCGAGGAACTGGACTTCATCACCAGCAGATAACAGTTACGGAGTCATTTGAAACCAATAAATAATAAAGGACATCTATTTCCTCCAACTTCTTGAGCCAGCAACAGTCCGGAATCATTTACTCAAAAGAAATCAAATTCAGAATAATCAGGCGATGTGGCGACCATGTTTTAATTCATCTATAATTTGTAATATCATACAAGTCACTAGGCAGTAGCTGTTCTCACTCTTAATGACCTCATTGATTACGATTTCCCATTGAAACTTCGGAAACCTTACTTTAACACCATTAACTGGTGAATTCTTAACCGATTGTGTGAGGTTTGTGAAGAATGACGATGATGGATTCGTACTTTTGACGGTTCTTTTAAAGTAAGACGAGGTTTGCCTTTAGATCAGTCTAGTCCTTATAAACTTAACCTCAATAATCAGAAACATTTTGAATGTGTCCATGTCAAAATAAACAATTTTCCTACAAACTATGGTAATTTGCTGTAGTTCCACCACCATAAGATATTAATGTCAATAAACTAATCGACTGTCAGTAGGTGTTTCCGTGCAACCTAAATATGTTGATTTAGATTTAATCAGCTAAGGGAATCATTAAAAATCAGAGAGTCAGGGAGAGCTATTTAACTTTACCTTAAAGACTCCCCAGGAGAGAACACACATGATCTCCAAAGAGAACTGAACCCAAGATCTTAGTGTACACAGTCCTAAAGTAGAACAAAACAGGACTGTTAAGTGCTCCCTTATTTCAAATCAGTTTCTATCCTATATCACTGTATGACTACGCTAATCAAACTTCTTTACAAACCTAATGCCTTAGACAGTTTTTATTATTATTATTATTGTATCCTTTAATTCCTAGAAGAACATAGGGCTTCAGCCGTGCGTCTCCATTGAGTTCGGTTCTATGCTAGAGTCTTCACCTGGTTCCATGTCTGCCCACACATTTTCATCTCCTCTTCACATGACCTCCTCCAAGTCACCCTTGCACTGACGACCAACTCGCCGCTTCCCTTTCGGGTTCCACTCGAGCAATGGCTTGTCTAGTGATGTCACTTGATGGATTGTTTCCTCAGAGTATGACCAGCCAATCCATCTCCATTTCTTCCTGCCTATTTGTTGCACAATCGGTTCCTACTGAGTTGGTTCGCTCCCAGAGATCCCACCCTGTTGCTGATCTTTTCTGGCCGACTGGCCATCTGATCTTGAGTATTGAGCGAAGACAACTGTTAATGAAGGTCTGTAGTTTGTTTGAGATGCTCTTTATGACGCGCAGTGCAAGTCTCTGATCCGTATAGTGAGTAGCACTGACTTCACATTGGAGTTGAAAATCCGGATCTTATCTTCGTTTTGATGCTGAGAGTTGTTGACCTCCACACAGACTTGAGAGTAGTGAAAGCTTGTCTTGCTTTTCCGATTCTTGCTTCGATATCCTCGTCAGTTCCGCTTCCCAGGGAGGTAAAAGAGGTTGTTTCTTTCAGGTTCCTCCCATTTAGGCTGATTGTTGTCTGTTGTTGTTGCTGTTGGTGGTGTTGCCCGGGAATCTTCATCACCTCTGTTTTCTCTATGTTCACCTGAAGTCCTAACTTCTCTGGATGCTTGTTCTGCCAACTTGTTGCTTTTCGCTTGCATATCTTCCAGTTTGTGGGAAATCAGACATATAAAATCGGCGAAGTCCAGATCCTTCAAGTTTTTTGTGTGAGTCCATTTTATGCCTGTTTCCTCATTGCCTTTGAAACACTGAATCTTTGGATATAATATTGTATATCAATAACACCTATAACTATCTATTTGCCACTCTGTGCTTGTTTAACACTAACTAATACCTATAATTGTATATATATATTGATGGATTTACATGTTCAAGTTGGCTGAAGTCAGTGAGTCTATGATTTTGGTACCATTTTGGTTAACTGTAATTGACTGTGATATTGTTATTGTTGTTGTCGCTTGTTACCCTTCTTGTTGTGAATTATTTTCCCGTACTGGTGTTGTTCTGCTTGTTTTATTCCCTGTTTTCCTGGTTTTAAGGGGAGCAACCCACAAGGTCGCTTCTCTCTAAATTGTAATTTAATGTAACAATCCCCCTTCCCAGGCATGAGGCTAGCAACCCCACCCTGTAAACAAACCTGCTACAGAAACTTCAGCACGATGAATCTCATCGAGCCAAAAGAAAAAGTCTGTGTGGGGACATGGAATGTCCGCACCATGTACGAGATTGGCAAAGCTGCCCAGATCGCAAACGAAATGAAAAGATATAGACAGTTTTTAGCCAGGAATAAAATCCAAAAACATTCAATATACATAAAATGATATGTCCTTTTGTATAAATAGTAATTCAACTTTCTAATAACTTATACAAATATAGTCAAACATCAAACAATTGCAAAAATATTTAAGTAATCAAAAAAATAGAAGGAACAGGGGATAACTAACCTGGGTAATATAACCAATGATACAACAGAATAGTATACAGACTAATGTAAAAAATAATCGAAGCAATATGGATACATTATGATAGAGTTTTATTTCAATCCATGCAGGAGTATATTGATATCTCATATATACACTTGAATCATCATTTTGATCATGATCATCATCATTATTATTATTATGACGATTTGAAGAGATTAATGGATACAATGTTAAACAGCTTTTTAAACTTGTTTGATTAGGAAACCGGTAGAGTAAATCACAACCACAAGGAAGATGAAATAGTAGTGATAAGTCATCGATTATCCTTTCGAAGGGAATAGATAAATATGTAAAAGGAAGAAAAGAAGATAAAGGTTAAATTAAACTTAATATTAACTACAATTACTACTGAGTCAAATCAATATACCAAGTTTGATAATGAACTAACTTCAGATAGAGAACCATTAAGAACCAGTAAGTACTGGTCAGCTGTTTTGTTCTTGTTTCAGACGCACCCACGACTCCACCAGAATCTGCAAGCCAGCTCGTTGACCAATGAGTTGCTGAGTTAGAATTTAATGACCTGTGAACTTTAATTTCTCTCAATTCGCGATACAGCTCTACTATGTATGGGTCGTTGAATTCCGACTCAGTGGGTCAACGAACTGGTCTTGTAAACTGAAGACTCCGGGTCCGTCCCTGGTGGTATCATGGGTGCATATTGTTGAATAGTCCCAAACTAGAACGAAACGGCTGTCTAGTGCTTCCTGGTCTTCAATGGTTCTCTAACTGAAGTTGGTTCAAAATCAACCTTGAAATTAATCAAATCCCTGGAAACCAACACTTTAATCAATATGTATTCAGCTTTTAACTACCCTGACAACTTGCTTTTTCCTTACTCTTCACTTATTTAGCTTGATCTTTTGATTTCCATTTACTGTATTTTATCGCATTTAGTAATATATTTCCATAATAATTTTAATTCATATCAGGTTTCAGTCCAAATTGAAACCCCTAATCACCATGTTCCATTACATTTCTTTTATTATTATTATTACTAAATTCCTTGCCTATTTATGCAAGCTCTAATTCCAACCCAAAGGTCATACATACGCGCAACTTATTAACCTTGCCCTGTCTCAAAAAAAATTTTAACTTCATCACGACACTATTTTGCTACATTTTACTGATCCATTAAGTGGAGACAGAGCACACCAGGCTAAGCACCGAACTTTCAGGCAACAAGTCACGGGTTTGAATCCCGCATCACCTACTTCAGCCTGAGCAAGTGGGTAGATAGCATCAGCAATTGTCATACAATACGTTCAACTCATAGCCTTCCTGGCCCATGAAAGATCTGTTATTGATAACTGAGTTACAAACAAACAAAAGGACATTTACTGACTTCTGTGTTAAATGAACTAAAGTAAGTTACAATTTCACCATAATTTGACACAATTGTTTAAAGTTGTACACCGTAAAAAAGACTTGCATTCTGTCAATGTTTGTTTCAGTCCCATTTCAAGTATACAGGGGCGAATATATATATATATATCGTGTCAGCAGGGAAGATCGTCCACGCTGGAAAATACCACACATGCTTTTCTCATTCGTATCGAGTTTTCATTAGCAACCAGGCTATCGGGTTAGATGATATTTATCGAATGAGTGAAGCGGTTCACACATTTGTAGCATTTGTACCCATGAGAGCATTTTTTATTTTAAATTACCAAGGAGAATTACTATTTATAGTCGTAAATTATTATTATAAAGAGTGAGTAAATAAACACTGCTTACATTTTAGTTTCACACCTTCACAATAAGAGTGCAGGTTAACTAGACTGAATTAGTTTCTAAAGTATGTAATTCCTTCAACAAGTTTACCAAAAATGCCAATAGTTTGTTCTCATATGATGGCCAAGTCATTGAATAATAGAGAAGGAAAGGAAGACGAATACACTGAGACTGAAATTGCTTTCAGGATGATCAACTCTAAAATGAAGAAGAGAAACCACATTGACAAAAAATTACTTTTATGATACAAACTACAGCAAAGTCATCTGACACAGCCTTACGTACTGACTCCTTAACCTCTCCTCTTCTGTCCCTCTCTCCAAAATTAATGACCAGGATGGTTTCAAAAAAGTCTAACAAATAAGGAAAGAATATTATACATGCAACTGTCTAGGAATTACTCACCTAAGTGCAATACTGAGGAATGGTAAGAATGTACGATTACAGCAGAGTGAAAACAATATTCACCTGAATCTTCAAAACTTTCTTCCGCAGATGGTAAAGAATTATGACTACACCTTTCAACTATTCATGAAGTCTTTTAGATTTTTGTCACCTAATTAACCAAAACTATTTAAATGCACTGAAGTAACTGCGGTCCGTTGAAGCAACCAGATGAGCAATGACTTAAGCTTTTGTAATGTGCTATGATGAGGCACACAGTGAAAACGTAGAGTAGCGAATTCCACCTTCGATGGCCTGACTTACATCTAGTTGTTACCACAGGTATATTTGGCTCTGATTTTCGGCATACAGGTACAGAATGACGCTGCACCTATACTAATGCAAATACCTTCTGAGCACATCTAAGAGTTTCTTTTTACTAGCATGTGGGCGAACTCTCCTGGTAATCTTGACAATTTACTTTTTATTTGATAAAAGAAGGCATTTCTTATGCTAATCCATACTACCAAATAGCCTTCAGTCTAACGTACATACTTGTAATCTACCAGTGTGAACTACTTTTACGCAAGTTATATCATGGAAAATTTCACTTACTATCAAATAATGTCTTAACCTTCCTAACTATAAGACGCTTTTTGCCTATCTACACGACAAACACTATGCTTTACCGGAAGCTGTTTTTGTTTTTCTCTCCGAAACTGATGCAATTTCCTTACAAAATAAACCTTATTGGGAACAGCGAATTCGAAGGTGAATTCATACTACTACTTATTGGAGCGGATTTAAACTATCAGAGCCAAACACAGTGATCTTGAACAAACAATTAGAATTCATACGTAAAATGGTTTCATAATCGTTGAAAAATACACTAAAAACTATTGCAAACTTGATGCTTCACTGTATAGTTGTAGCTTATGTGTTTTAAGAATTTCTCCCAATCAATAGACAGATGATCTATTGAGAAATCATACCATAAGCGATCTACCCATGCATTCAGGTGACTGTAGGTCATGGTACTTTGAGGTCCACTGATTTTTTGACTTTAAACTTCAGCCTATTTCTAACTCTAACCATCATCCTAACACTAACATTAAACCTTGATCTTAAAAGTCATAACTCTACCGAACATTATAGGTTTGCAGAAAAAATACCTGGTAAATAAATAGCATACTCTATCTATCCTCTCCTAGTTCGAAATAGCACGCTCAGCTTGATTTAAAATGATATTTCATAGCATTTACTGTATCTGACCGCTTCTGAAGTTCAACTTCTGAAAAGCCTTGACTTTGGCTATGGTACTTTAATTTCACCCTTATTGAAACACTCGAATGTGCGAAGAAAGCGTGCCACTTTATCAAAGTCAACAACAAATTTAAGACATAGGATGCAATTCAATTATATTTGAGATTTACAAAATACGTATTGTTCTAGTGGAGCGAAAAAACTGATACCTATGGTGTGACAATGTCATCCTCGATCAATAATAGCATCGTAACGAAATTAGTTGATTCCCCGCCTTCATTTCAAATGTCCAATATCTAATATCCTGATAACGAGCTAGTATAAACCAGTGATTTATTTGAGCTCACTTCTTGATTGTGAGGTGGATGTTCTAGATCTTCGATGAACTTCTGCGTAGTAAGTCCCGCCACTCGACTGCTTTAGCTCTGGTAGACTCCAAGAGGAGTGGTGCGGGGATTGGTCAAAATGTGGTTTGTAGTATGCAGTATGTTAGGACTGCGTTGCTGACGTGGATGGAGTTTGACCTAACTCCCGTTGGTCATTCGGTGTAGTCAAAAAAGCAGAGTAGTAATAATAATAGGTTGTAGTGTAGATAATATAGGTTGAGATAAGTGAAATAATAAAGGTGACCTAGGGAAAAGATAGAGTAGTCGGTACAGTGAGAGAAGACAGAAAGGGTCGTGGAGATTTAGCTTGTATGCTTATCCATTGACAGTGTGGTTTTAAGAGAATAAGCCACTGAAACACAAACCTTGCATTTCTGCATGATTGTCCAGCTTCCGCTTAAAAGTCTACACAGATGGCTCTGTAGTCACGGCCGCCGGTAAAGCGTTCCAGAAACGGCAAACTCGAAGCAAAAAGAAATGTGAACGCACTCGATTTTTTGGTCTCTGGTGTGCTATACTTAGCGGGTTACCTCGTGGAAGCCTATAATCACTTAATAGCAGGATGCTTTTATTAGGGTGGGCCTGGTAATTTAAGATCTCGTAGACGGTGATGAGGTCTCTCCTGTGTCTTAATTTCTTCAGTCTTTCCTCGTATGATATGTTGCGGAGGCCGATCACCCATTTTGTCGCTCGTCTCTGGACACTCTCTAGAACGTTAGCATCCCTTTTGAGTAGCGGAGGAGCGATGATATTATGCACCTCAAGTTGTGGCCTCACGTATGTCGTATACAACCTTAAGAATAGTTCGGGAGTAAGAGCTCCCAGCTGCCTATGCATAAAGTGTAAAGTTGCGTAGGCTTTGGCGACGTCCCTAGTGTAATTTCCACTGGTGTCTAGCTTTTCTGTTAGAATAAGACCTAGGTCGCGCTCTGATGGCCCACAACTCAAGTTCTGGCCACCAAGGGTGTAATTTACACTCTGTGATCTGCCGGAATGAAGTTGCACTACTTTGCACTTCTTTAGGTTGAAAGGCATTCCGTTAGCCAGAGCCCAGTCTCCCAGAGTTCGCAGATTAGCCTGCAAGTCTGCCTGAGTCTTCCTATGAACTTATTGCTCTCCAAATCTTTACGTCTGCAGCGTAAGAAAGCGCAGAGCAGTTCATTTGAAGGGGCAGGTCGTTGATAAAAATCAAAAACACCAACGGCCCTAAGATAGAACCCTGAGGAACCGCTGATGCCGAGGTGTGCCAGGATGATCGGATGCGGTTGACTTTGGTGGAAAATTCTCTCTCACCTAAGTAATCTTCCAGCCATGCAAGAAGTGCTCCAGAAACACCCGCTTCGCTTATTTCGTGAAGGAGCAGACCATGGTGAAATGTGTCGAATGCTTTCGCAAAGTCGAGAAAGATCACATGGACTGGTACCTTCACGTCCCAGGATGGTGTCCAATCGTTCCAAGCTAGTAGAAGATTCGTCACGCAGGATCTTCTCCTCCTGAAACCGTGCTGTGCTTCATGGAGTAGGTTAGTCCCGTCGAAGCATTTCCTCATGTGGTCGTCAATGAGAATTTCCAATATCTTCGATGTCACTGGAAGTAGCGCAACTGGTCTGTAACTGGTCGCATTCTGCCGTCACACCTTGAAGATAGGGATAGATGCTTGAACGAGTTCTTTCCTCGAAGATTTCTTGAATATTTTTCATACTAGATTCTTAGTCTAAGAGTTTGATGCTGATTTACCTTATTAGTAGGTTTAGTACTTATTCGCTTTTTTAATGTACACATTGTGATTCATCATACTAGCAATCAAACAAAAGCGAAGTTGTACAAAAAGTACTAGAAAAAAATGTATATTTAAAAGTTGAGAACAAGATATAACAATCTTAGAAGGTAACAAAAGCTCAATAATAGTGGTTTATTACAGTGATGAATAACAAGATGAGTCACTTCTTCCTAAGCACTGAATTGCTGTTTCCGCCTTGTGGGAGTAACTTCATCAGCGGTGTTTCCACGCCGACTCAGGCCAGCAGGCCAAATCACTCCAAAGCATCTTAACCCTAAAGAAGTGCTTGGACAACCTGATAATTAGTAGAATGAGTCGGTACCTTCTCATTTTAATCCACAACATACACCATTTTCATATCCCACCTTTCTACAGCAAACTGAATAGACAACCAGGTTTCATCTGGATCATTACTGCTGTCACATTTAGACAAACGTTTGAGTAACTCTCGAAATTTTCAATTAGTTTTGTGATACTTTTTCTGCGTATTACCTGCGTTCACCAGCTTAGATAAATGGAATCATGGGTATAACCACATTCTCAACTTGTTGCGCGTATCTCAGGAAGAAATGTGTAAAAACTTCGGTATGCCATAAATTCGGCTAGCGATTACTGGTGTGAGTTTTATCGTATGGTTCTGAAGTAAAAACGCCAATATAAATTTTTAGAGTGAATTCAAAAGATCAAGAGAAGTGCTTCTTTGGCCCGTGCTGCTAGCGTTTGTTGCAGAGATGTGGAGGATGAAAAAAATTCCTATTGACTAGTCTTAACTGTTGTCTCAAGGCAAGAAAATGTGAAGAATAGATGACTAAAGGAATAGTTTTGTGATCTAATAGCAGCATATCAGCGGTTTATAATTTCCACTTTCCCGAATTGTGGAAGCAGATTTTGTCACAGATCGCCTGATAAGGAGAATGGGTTCATTTTATGTTATCACAGAGATCAGATTAAAATATTTTAGATCAATCACGCTCAACCTACCTTGTTGGAGTTATCTAGTGAGGCTTTATCTACGCGAAACACGTTTCTAAGGTCTGTGGACAGTGGAACAACTGAGGCTTTAGATAATTCGTCTTTATTGATCAGTTTAGCCAAAATGACCAGTGCTAAACAAAATCGTTGTGACAATCAGTGTTTGAAGGAACAGGAGAGCAGTGGTTGGACTATGTGGTGACTATTTATTCCTGGTGTTACTAATTGTTTTATCTAAGTGAATACAGACTTTAGCACAGTTTTCTTCCTTAATTGGTTGTAGGGTGTTAGGAGAAGACTCCTCCAATAAAAGTGCCCACCACTTCCGTTGCGAAGGTGACAATATAAAAAGAATTAAGATTATATCTACCTGAAGGCAGTCATCGAATGAGTTTACAAACTCTAAAACAATATAATTGCATGGTTTCCTTTCACTGATCATGACGTTAGATCTGAAATTTTTAGGATCTCCCTAAAACCCTCCTCCTCACAGAGAAATATATAATAGATGGGTTATGTATCTGTTGAAGGAAACACATTAGTGCCTTTACACTACCATTTGTCTCCAGTGAGACTTCACTGAGGAATTTCAATACTGTGATCGTAAACGCTTTTAGTTTAACTACTGCTCAACTCACCCTTCTGTCACTGTAAGACTTGCAAGAAAATACATGCCATCCAACACAGCATGCTGGGTTGCATTGGAACATGATAGCCATACCACCACGACAAATTAGGAACCATCAGTCCAGAGTATATATATATGTATGATGAGAAGCTTGATGAATGGAAAGTTTATGTCATCTTGAGAGTGCAGCGGTAAATAATTCCGCGGAATTACTGACCACAGCAGTCATCACTGAACATTGGATGTTGACCCTCACTGTTTAAGTCGACTTGCTTTGCTGAAAGCTTCCGGTCAGGCATCCACGCCATTTGGTACTGCGTCGTGTCACGTTCGTGCACAATCACTAGCCAGCTAAGCAATCATCTTGCACTCCTATTTGGTCCTGAAATATATTTCGTACTTTGGACGATCAAATAGTGTCTTTTGCTTTGCCTTTGGTCAATGCGGAACGAATACTATAGAAGTTGTGGGTATTAGATCTTGCGTTAGTATACTCCGTGCAATCCGTGAACGTCAATACTGTCAGCTTGCAAAAGAGTATGAATAATATCATATCCAGTAAACAATCATAACGAGTATGATTATGAAGAATAAATTGTGTTCAAAACGTCATCCAGCATATAATACTGTTTCATTATGTGATATATCCATTAAACAAATTAAGATGGAATTAAGGACTGCTATAGTACCCACGTTATATACAGATATTAGTTAGTAGGCGTTGTTTTAGAAAGATAAAATCAATTAATAGAATTGATGTAAATCCCTCTATCAATAATAATATGTATCAAATCTGCATCTCATCTAATTATCAGATTTTTATTACTGCGTAGGTCTAAATACCCTCCGAAAAACGCTGTGACCACTGAATCGAGTTCCAGCGGATTAATGGTCCACGAGCTTGCTTTGTGGTTGAATGGTCTTGGGTTCGAACCCCAATGAATGCGTACTGCCTATGAGTCTAACATTAGGCCGAAACTGCTGTCCAGTACTCCTTGCTTTTCGATGGTTCTCCATCAGATATCAATCCGTAATCAAAACTGAGATAAATCAGATCCCTACAAAATAACTCATGAAAATAACCAACAATACCCAACTACAGAAAATTCGTAGTAAAACTAACTTGCAATATGTGATTCATTCAAAATATGCGCTTTAATGTTAGTCCTCTACGTGTGCTACTGACAAGACCTTTTAAGTAGTATACATACAGAAACATAAAAATATAAATATCATCTTCGAGATATTGAATAGCGAGGGATAGATTAAATGGAGAAGAGGGAAAATAAACGATTCTTGTGAAACAACATAGAAGACTTGAAAGGAAAACAAAAGAAGCACAATAAGAAAGACATATACAAATTGAGATTCCAATGCGAGGTAGATGTATTTGTACACCAAAGTGCCTGTAAATTGTTCAACTATTAGATACTGTTGTGCTCTGTTGTTACAAGTTCACCCAAATATAAATGGTTCCAAAATATATCAACCAATCCTAAATAGAGTAAGCAGTCATTCATTCATA